GGAGTTGGTACTCCAGCTAGGCCACACCAGAAACAAATGGGCAGTTGTAGGGAGTTGGGACTCCAGATTGGCTACATCAGAAACAACTAGTCAGTTGTAGGGAGTTGGACACCAGCTAGGCCACATCAGAAACATATGGGCAATTGTAGGGAGTTGGTACTCCAGCTAGGCCACACCAGAAACAAATGGGCAGTTGTAGGGAGTTGGGACTCCAGATAGGCTACATCAGAAACAACTAGTCAGTTGTAGGGAGTTGGACACCAGCTAGACCACATCAGAAACATATGGGCAATTGTAGGGAGTTGGTACTCCAGCTAGGCCACATCAGAAACATATGGGCAATTGTAGGGAGTTGGTACTCCAGCTAGGCCACACCAGAAACAAATGGGCAGTTGTAGGGAGTTGGGACTCCAGATAGGCTACATCAGAAACAACTAGTCTGGACACCAGCTAGGCCACATCAGAAACAAATGGGCAATTGTAGGGAGTTGGTACTCCAGCTAGGCCACATCAGAAACAATTTGTCAGTTGTAGGGAGTTGGACACCAGCAAGGCCACATCAGAGACAAATGGGCAGTTGTATGGAGTTGGAAACATATGGGCAATTGTAGGGAGTTGGTACTCCAGCTAGGCCACACCAGAAACAAATGGGCAGTTGTAGGGAGTTGGGACTCCAGATAGGCCACATCAGAAACAACTAGTCAGTTGTAGGGAGTTGGACACCAGCTAGGCCACATCAGAAACATATGGGCAATTGTAGGGAGTTGGTACTCCAGCTAGGCCACACCAGAAACAAATGGGCAGTTGTAGGGAGTCTGGACACATAGGCCACATCAGAAACATATGGGCAATTGTAGGGAGTTGGTACTCCAGACAGGCCATATCAGAAACAAATGGGCAGTTGTAGGGAGTTGGGACTCCAGATAGGCCACACCAGAAACAAATGGGCAGTTGTAGGGAGTTGGACACCAGCTAGGCCACATCAGAAACAAATGGGCAATTGTAGGGAGTTGGTACTCCAGCTAGGCCACATCAGAAACAAATGGGCAACTAGCCACATCAGTTGTAGGGAGTTGGGACACCAGATAGGCCACATCAGAAACATATGGGCAATTGTAGGGAGTTGGACACCAGCTAGGCCACATCAGAAACATATGGGCAATTGTAGGGAGTTGGTACTCCAGCTAGGCCACATCAGAAACATATGGGCAATTGTAGGGAGTTGGTACTCCAGCTAGGCCACACCAGAAACAAATGGGCAGTTGTAGGGAGTTGGGACTCCAGATTGGCTACATCAGAAACAACTAGTCAGTTGTAGGGAGTTGGACACCAGCTAGGCCACATCAGAAACAAATGGGCAGTTGTAGGGAGTTGGGACTCCAGATAGGCCACATCAGTGAAAAATAGGCAGTAAATGCAGAGACACATCTAATGGTTTTAACCTATCAGACATCAATTTTGTCAGCTTCATATATGAATTTGTCTGTACATTAATATCACAAACAAGAGAATTAAAACCAATAAATACAAAAGTAGCTTCTGGATCAATGAATGCTTGAACAGATTGATGCCTGGGATTTAAACACTGACAATAGAAATAAATATGGAAACATTTTTGTATACTTTCATTACCACATCAAAGTCAGTTAACAAGAGTTTAGCTTGTGAAGACTGAATGACCGTACACAAGAACCTACCTAATAGAGGGAAGGTCTGAGGGAAAGCAGGTAACAAACACATCACTACATAAGACATCCTTACCTTGCTCAAATTTCATATCTCTCAACAAACTTGTAACATCTCTACCCTGCTAATGTCTCCACTCTCTACCTACAGGTAATATCTCTACCTACAGGTAACATCTCTACCCAGCTAATGTCTACACCCTCTACCTACAGGTAACATCTCTACCCAGCTAATGTCTACACTCTCTACCTACAGGTAACATCTCTACCTTGCTAATGTCTACACTCTCTACCTACAGGTAACATCTCTACCCAGCTAATGTCCCACCCTCTACCTACAGGTAACATCTTTACCCAGCTAATGTCTAGTCTCTACCTACAGGTAACATCTCTACCCTGCTAATATCTACACTCTCTACCTACAGGTAACATCTCTACCCTGCTAATGTCTCCACTCTCTACCTACAGGTAATATCTCTACCTACAGGTAACATCTCTACCCAGCTAATGTCTACACCCTCTACCTACAGGTAACATCTCTACCCCTAATGTCTACACTCTCTACCTACAGGTAACATCTCTACCTTGCTAATGTCTACACTCTCTACCTACAGGTAACATCTCTACCCAGCTAATGTCCCACCCTCTACCTACAGGTAACATCTTTACCCAGCTAATGTCTAGTCTCTACCTACAGGTAACATCTCTACCCTGCTAATATCTACACTCTCTACCTACAGGTAACATCTCTACCCAGCTAATGTCTACATTCCCTAACAAAGGAATAAATGAATTTGAATTTGAATAATATCCACCTACCCTTCCCTGTTTATATCTCAATGTAGCCTTCTTTATTAAGTCAATAAGTACTAGTAATGATAAATTTTGAGAATGTATATAATGATACCCTATCTAATTAAACATGTTCATATTTCTAATACATAAGAGTTATTTACATGCCACTTGTGTTCTGATGAAAAAAGAATTAAGAAAATCACGTTTTCTATGTATATATTATATAAGTAGAATTCTGTCCACTTAAGATATGTGTACATGCTCAAGTGTATGTGAGTACACAAGGGCAGAGAAGACATGTTCTACATCGTAATGTGGTAAGTGTACTATTAAAACATGACAAATATTCAACCTCTAAAGTGTTTAAATACCTCTATGTTGGCCTGAATGTCAGTTTACAACTATCTCTCTCCCTAACATATTGTCTCATAACCTCTCTGTCAGTATATTCCAGGACTTTTTTCACTCTGTTTTGAAAAGGCCTTATTTTATCTCATTTTGGGAAGAAAAATTGGCAATTTTACAAAATAAATCCAAATAGGAATAGGGCCCATTTTTGGCCCCACAGAGCACTCAGAAATAAATCTGTTTTCTTATCTAATTAATATGCTTTTGATGAAAAAAATTAATTAAATACTTCAGTTAAGCTTCAATTTTCATTCTTCTGTTATATCAATGTTAATTAACACATCCATGTTTCTCAAATAAAATACAGATTCCAATTTTAAAATTATAAACAAGGCTGTCTTATCTGTTTCTGTATCCTAAATTAAATGATGCAATAAAATTAAGCAAGTATCATTTAATTAAGCACATGAAATAATAAAAATCCTTCTAACTGTAGAAAGCAGTATACTGTCAGATTATTTTCCAATTTTGAAGATGAAGAGCCAGTTACATGTCTCATCATCATCATCATTTTGCGAAAAATGCATATTAATTATTAAAGGGTAGTCAAAAGACTATTTTGCCATCCTTCTGCGTTTCATTTTAAGCCATCAAAGGCTTGCATTAAAAGGTTTTCAGCTAATCAGAACAAATGCGAAAAACTGAAACTGAATGGCAACATATCCGATTAATCATCAACAGCAAATGATTGTATGCTGCACTTAAATATTATCTTTTATAAACTGATTTTTTCAGTACCAAATAATGGTACATCATGAGACTGCTGAAGTCAAATGATGAATGTTATACCAACAAACTTTTCACAGAGAGTGGACTTCCAACTGTAATCCACAACACCAGACCTGCATGTTGAGAGATTATGTCTGAACATGGAGGTCTAACTTTCTATACAACAGTAAATACTACCTGAATATTGATCTATTTCAGGTCTCCTTTTGTATATTGCACATCAATTAGCACAGTCACAGTTTAATACACCTGCCATAACAATTTTTGCTGTAATATTATGACAGTGATGGAAAAATCGTATAAATTTAGTAAAGAAATACAGGTCTGCATCAATTTGCTGAAACTACCATCTGAATTTCTAAAAAGAGTTAATTTTAATAATCAAATTCAACATCTTTTCCTAGAAAACCAACCAAAATCACTCTATAAGAATAAATAAATGGTCAATTTAAGTTTACCCAAAAAGGAGGGATTTTTTTTCTGTAATTGTTGCAAGATGAATAGAAAACCTAATAAGTATCTTGAAATGTAAGCTACTTTTACTTTTGGCAGAAAGACCAAGGTTATTTGTCCTGTTCAAAATATAATTTATATATCTATGAAACTTGATTATGGTAACCTTCTACATATTGTTGTGCATAATGAAATTATCAGACTATCACAGTGGACATTACCCAAAATCAATTTGTAATGTTTAGAAACGAGGTAACAAGGCATAAATCTACCAATTGATAAAGACAATAAAGATAAATGGTCTGTTCCGAATATGGACAAATGTGTTTATACCTTACATTTTAAGCAAATGTTCAGAAAATATAGGTTTCATTTTGAGCTTCATCGTGTTAGATATTGCAATGAAGAAACCAAGCAAGCCTGAAAAAACATGTCCGCTCATGTATAGGAAGAAGTTTGTATTATGACACATCAGTATTCTGAGTTTGGATTAAGACTCATGACTGTAGTTCAATGTATCATATAGTCCTGCTGGTGTTTTTTGCGAATCATATTCCAAGGAAAGTTTGAGCATAATTGCTATCAAACTGAATATCTTAGCATAGTTTCATTGTGACATTAAACATTCCATTTCATACAAAACATTTTGGGCTTTGTAACCAGCCGCTTGTTGTACCGATACTGGGTCTCAAGTTGTGGAAATCATGTGTTTCTTCTATCCAACAATTTGAACTGGCTAGAGTTTCATCATATACACAAGCTTCGTGCATTTTTTTTCTACAAGTTTTTTTTTCTTTCACTTATAACATCCAATCACTTTAAATTATCTTTTAAAAATAAGCTAAAAGCACTTCAAATGATTGAGAACTTGACCCTTATTTCAACATGAAAATAATCAGCTTTATCTTTGCTGGTCAGAGGAACACTTACCTTTATTTCAGTAACATTTGCCTCCTCCAACTTTTTTCTAAAATTGGGATCTTCCTCTAGTGCCATAATGATCTCCTTCAGGTAACGATCATATTCTAAACCTGTGTGCTGAAACGTCAGTTAAAATTTCATTAAAATTTAAAAGACAGACAAAGTTGCATTTCAAATTAGATGTGGCTGAGACTCAGAAAAAACTGGGTTCAATATTTGGGTCATTCAAGTTAAATTTGTAAGTAATGACTAACCATCTAATATAAATGTACAAGAAGAAAATATTGACATGAAGAAATGAGGGCAAAATAGGAATAAAACTGAAAAAAACGCACAAAGAGTCTTGAAAGGGTTCCATTACTGGAGGTTACGTGTCAGACCATGTGATATTTAAAGGTAGGTATCTTCTTCACCAAAAAATGCCATCAAACCAAGAAAGTAATTTCATAATCTCTAATGAGAGCAAGGTTCAATTTTTATAACAACAAAACCATCTAGCATACAAACATTCTTCATCAACTACATGTGATGTAGCCCTCTGTAAAAAAAGCTTAACATGACTTACTTCATCATCATTTTCACTTCCTCCTTCCTCTGGCTGTGTTTGCACAGGTGGACAAATAATTCCAGATAAGCAGCTAAGTCCCAGAAATACCAGAAATAACAGTCTTCTCATTTTGGCAGTAAAGTCTGCAAAGCAAAAATCCTGGTTAATTCAGAAAAGAAAAATTGTCAGCTAATTATAATACTTAAATGATATGAGTTTGGTGTTACAAATATCTTGACCCAATTTATTCATTCATTTTCAAATTCTATATATACTGGATATTTGATCAATTCAATGTTCTTTCAATATTTCAGATTTTTTTCTTATATGTGATACATGCATTGAAGCAGTTAACTAAAAACATATTTGCTCAGTGGTGTTATTTCACAATCCTTTGTTTTTCCTCTCTCTTTACTTCTTGGTCATTATTTGTAAATACAAATGATTTAGTTGAAAACTCTAGTAATGTTCCTGACAAGAACAATTGTTATCAAATACTGGTAAGTTTTTGTGTGAAACCAGTCATTAAAGAGTACCGTTCAACATTCTCACTAGGGGAGTAAACCAATTCAACACACCTGATATCCTATTTTCAGCCACTAAAGATAAGACATTCATCTCACTTGCAAGACATATTAATATGCAATTGCAATGATTGTGATTTCTTATACTTGTATTTTGACTCAGGGTACTAACAACAAAGAACAATGAGTTATACACTCTGTCTTGTGTAATATAACTAATAAAACGGCAATAACAATAACACAATAACTTTTCTGTATTTTTTTCTGTTTCAAATTTCCAATTAGAAGCTTATCAGTTAGGTGAAGAGTGCTTGAGCTTATATCTTCAATAACTGAATTCGAGTTTTTCTTTTTACTTGGTACAAAGTCCAAAGGGTTTCTATTCTCTTTATGTGTGATTTCTATCTTTTTGCAAAGTTATGTCATCAGATTTTCCATCACAGACCGGGCAACAGTCAGTGGAAACTTGTAGGAGGATCATAACCTAATGCACTCAAATACGAGTTGGACCTTAATATCAAAGAAGAATAACATGTAAATAGTTAATTCAATCAGCAGACAATGTGTTGACACATTGGCTTGTCTACTCGAGCACTGTTTGATTTTCAACACTGCCACTTTTGACAATAAGATGGATTAAGACCTCTATTATATATTACCCTAGATATGGAGTTATACCAATATTGTTCTCTCTACACTTCCAACACTTCAAAATTGAATGTTTCATATGCCACAACTTGTGGGTAAGACATAGGATTAGTTTGATCATTTGATGCATATCGAACAAATCTTGAGGTCGCATAACCATACATTGTACTAGATTAGAAATTTGGGTATCTTTCCTTTCGTAATCTTCAGAGTCTGTGATAAGACTTCCCCGCTGAAACTTCCTCTAGACCAATCAATTTACCATGCCTGTGCATTCAAGTTTGCAAGGAACTGTTTACAGTGTGAAAGTGATAGCAACTCCTTGGGTAACGAAGATGGTAGATATAAAAGCATAGATATTATGATTATGTGTGTATTCCCTCTCACAATCATTATACAGGCAATTGGCTCATATAGACAAGTCAAAAGCTATACATCCAGAACATTTTCATTGGAATCGACATATGTTAGATCGAACTTTCGATAGCAATAAACATACGACTATTCTCATCATAACACATTAAACTTGTCAGTTATTTCCTTACAGCGACTATGAAGAATTGGAAAGCCGTCGTTTAGAAACATTTTATGTAGTATCGATTGAGTAGTAATGTTGTCAGTTGTGATAAGGGGATCAGACATGTGACAGACATGTCAGGACTGTCAATGTTGATTTTCAACTGGACAGCTGTTTCAGTGTTTGACATACAAAAAGTTCAGAATAACCTAAACTGTCTTTAATTTACCTGTCTATATGCCAACTTCTGATTTTCTTTTCAATCCTTAGATACACTTCTGATCTTGAATGTAAATGTTCACAATTTACAGATCTCCATACGGTTTCAAGAGTGTTGTCAACTTTAAGTGAGACGTGTATTATTCTTCACAGGATGTTGCTCTTTCATATCCCTGTGTGAAACCTTCGTTTTCATTGGTTGCAGTGTAACAATACGGGCCAATGATGAAACGACTTACAAAAATCTACCAAGGGAAGTCACTCTGTGTGACGTATGATGCCCGAGGCCTCTCCGTGTGTTATTGAAGAATTCGGTAATGGATTCAACTGCTGTTTCCGCGTTTTACATAGAATAATCAAGTGCATTTCCTTGAGATTCTGCCTCGAACGTCTTAAAGCAAGATACGTTAGGCCTGTCGTTAATTTAGAAATACAGTATGAAATATAGCGATATAGGCTTTATTAGGGACAAGTCAAATTCCGAATAGTGAATCCATCTATGGTAAAGCTTGTTTAATATGTAGATATTGGACCGAACCTCTACTTTTTGACACATTTTTCAAAATAGAAGCAGATACTATTTCTACATTGAAATGTATTAATGACCTGTATTTAAAATGTTCGATCTTATAATGTTTTTTCTCTTGCAATATTTGGTTAATAAAGATCTTACGTGTAAATTGTGAAGTTTAAATTCTTATGTAATGCTTTTTTTCTTCTATCATAATACTGAAGTTTTTATATGTGACTGTTGAAAGGAACATTTAGTCAAATTTGGAAAAGAAACATCAGACAATTGACAACTCTTTCCCATTTATCATTTTAAGACAAAAGAATCCTACATATGAAATCTAAGACGTACCTACAAATATGGTATATGGTCTTTATTGGTTTCCTTTAGTACACACAAAATGAATGGGCACAACTTAGAACGGAGAGGATCCTACCAATTGGGTTTAGAATAATGGAATCGTTCACCTAGCTTTTCAGTGGGATAGGTTGATCTAGACAGATGGGAAAGAAGACCATATCAACAAACATGAGGCATTCAGAATGTTTGCAACTTAAACATCTTAATCCTATGGGCTGAGTTCTTGCCTTGCAAGCATTATTATGTACTCGTGACTATACTACACATTATTGTCCTGACAGAATCCCTCATCCTCATAACCCAAGGGTAATTTCACGATGGTAAAAACTGCATACTGTCCAGGATGAGAGCAATGTCTCCATTACTTCTGAAGAAACTATTTAAAGTAGTGCGACTTGACAGCCATTCTGATGATGGGCTAAAATGTCCTAGGATTAACATGAGAACCAGTCAACTTAAGACAGCAGTTATAACCCTAATAATGCAATTTTATAGCGAGTACTTGAAAACTTATCGTTTTGTACTCCAATCCAGGGATAATGGGAAACACTGTCCAAAAGTCTTCATTGAAATGTTGAATTTTAACTGGCAAAGATGACAGCAAGTGATCAATACATTAAAGTTCTGTACTTGTAGAATTTCTGGAAATACTTCACAGATTTGTATTGATAACCCATTGATTTTTAGCAATAAAGTTGAAAATGATTCATGAAAATAAATTGTAGATCGATAGTTGACAGCAGTGTTAATGTTCAGAAAATTGATCAAACTGACCACTGTAGTCCTAATATTTGCAAAATCAATGCAGTCCAGCTTTGCCACAATAATCTTCAGTTCCTTTTCTTAGTATGCACCCTTTTGAACTGAATTAGAGAGACCCACTGACCTTAATGGTCACTCAAGGTATTGGGAGTTTTAGAAGCTGCCAAGCAGTCCCAGAAATGGGACAGACCGAGCAGATATATGCATATTAAAGTCTATAATGTTTAAAATGTATAGTTTTCAATTAACGGAACAGATAACACAATCTGTTTAAGTTGAGCACATTAGACTCCTGTGACCTTGAATGAAGGTCATTCATTTGAACAAACATGATTGGCCCAGCATGCTACTAGCCAATTATGACCCTTGGCCATTTTATTCTTTATAATATAGTCACTTAAAAAGACTTCATCACATTGCGCTCTTAAGGTAATTCACCCCAACAGGCTGACAAAATAGACCAACACGAGTGTCCTAAAAATTCAATCCAAGGTATCAAGTACACACAATGAATAAATGATAAATAACAACCAAAATATTAATGAAAATAAGAGACGATATTTATTACAATATAAACACCAACAATAATCACCTGAAACAATTTCTCCTCCTGATTCTTAATTTAAATAAACATAGTGCTTTTGTATGATTGAGTTCACTATGCTACAATAGATTTGTCACATGACATGATGTAGTGATCTATACAATGAATGAATGTTTCTAATGATTTGCACAATTCTATGCTGATGCAGCTTCCACTTGCTGTGCTTGATTGTCATTTGATTCTATTTTTGTTGTTTCATCAACTTTGACTTTCTTGGTCGGACTAGCGTCTTCAGACTCTTCTTCAGTAGACCTCTTCTCTGCCGTGTTCTCATCTACCTCTGCTTCTGTTAATTAAATAAAATAAAATACAAAGTACTTAACTTTCTCACTAGAGAAAATAGCTTTGTCTTTTCATTTAGAATCGAAAGAAAATGTGTTCAAATGGCACTAAACATTTTCCAAAATTCATATACACTACCACACTTGGCTACAATTTCTCTAATCAATGGCCTTCAAAATATTCTTTATCCAGTACACTGAATTAGTACACGTCATCTTGTATTTCAAATACCATACCTTTTGTTTCTTCTGTATTGGCATTCTCGTTGGTGTTTTCCGTTGAATCTGCAGATTCCTCTTTCTCCTCTGCTCCATCTCCATTCTCAGTCTCTTTCGTTTCCTACATACAAGTTTTTGAAAGTCAATCATGTGTATCCTGGTTCAAAAACTCATTCCAACTTGGGATATAATAACAACCACAACCTCAAATAAACCATTTAAACGAAAAAAGATTTTTTTTTAAAGAACTTGATCTTGTGGACTATACAATCGTGTGTAGTTCATGGTTGAATGCACATTCAAAATTCTTTGTGTGGTAACGTTATGGTTTAATGAATTTCCATCCTTTGTTAACTTTTTTTGTCGTATTCTGTTTAATTTCACTTAATTGTTTGAACAACTTCTTACCTGGGACTCGGTTGTGGTCTCTGGTTGTTCCTTTGTTGCCTCTTCGTCTTTCTTTTCAGCAACCTCTGGGGTTTCTACGGTTTCAACTGCGGTTTCCCTGAAAGTATCGATGTCCATAATATACATAGGTATAGTCATCTTTGTTAAAAAAAATCTTAACGATCCTCCATTTTAACGTTTTGAAAAAATTCTTTGTCGTTATCTCGAGACAAGTGGAAATTTTAAATTATTTTACTGTCCGGTATTAAGCATTAATGAAAAACAGTTGTAACACAAATTAAAACAATTATTTTCTTTGTGTTTTTTGTCTGCCAAAGTCAACGAACTTCACTTCCCTTCATAGATTATAAGTTTCTTTATTCAATTTAAAATTCCGTTTCTATTTTTGAAAGTTAAATTATTTTAATGAACACGATTTTTAAAAATTGAAAACAATCAACAAAGAACATAGTCAAATCTTAAACAAATTAACCAATATATATCATCGTTGTCAATACTATAGCCATACGGACAAAGTAAAACGAAACCGGACTCTCCATCAACCGGCATGGCCGCAAGCCATGATGGCGCCATCTTTTGCGAGGAGATTCATAAATTATCGTAAGTGAGCATTATATGATTGGCACAATTGATGAAAACTACGCACAACTAGGATTTTACCACTATAAATTGTAAAATTTGAATGGAATAAATACATGAAACCATATCACTTCCCTTAACGCAGAAAATTAACAAGTGGTTTTCCCGTACTTTCCCCAATACAGAACAAAGACCCTTTTCACTTTGTGTAAACGGAAACAGTTAATGGACATGATCCTAGTTAGAATTGCTATAAAACACTTTAATATCACCGTAAAAATGTAACATACCAAGTCGGTAATATTTTCATATATATTTACAATAATTTTGTACTTACTTTTCACCAGGCATATTGATAAATTAGGTGGGAGATTCTTAGTCACAGAGATTCCTTCTTTGTCACCGGTACGCAGACGACTGAACTTCCCGCCGATGGGCAATCGGTACTACTTTGCACGTGATAAATAGCGAGACATGATTGGCTAAAAGGGAAATTTGCACAACTGTCACCTGACCTAATTTCTGACATCTGATTGGTCAAAATTAAAGTATATCGATCGAGATATAAACAGATGTCACGTGATTAACAAAATGGCGACACACTGTGATTTTGACGCCCTTTCTGTCTTACTTCAGGTAATCTTTTGTGAACAGAGGCGTTGTTCCTTACAATCAAGACGGAATTTGTTGTGTTGTAGGAGCGAATGGAATTTAATGAAAGAAGGAGACTGTTCGTTTTTATATAACCTGTTTACAATGTTTAGCTGTTGATTTTATTATGATACTTGTCATTATTTTCCACTCGCGAAAGTAGGTATTCTTGCAAACCAGGATCGTGATGCCACGGCCGTTAAAATACACAGATTTAAGATATCTTGATCGTTAAATAATAATAGTTTTGCTATATACAACTACGATACAATGAAAACAGAATTATAATGTAACCGATTCATCGTCAACAGTTCAAAAGTATATTTTACAAACTCAAATAAAATATAGCCACGTTTTGACTGTTCATTCTGAATATATATATTTTCAGAATAGTTTTTAACTTGTTCAGAGCGTTGAGGAAACAAGGAAAACGATATGAATATACCTAACATATTTTCTGAGATTTTCAAAATTAACCTTTATTTTATATTACTTACATATTCAACATATGTTGTGCAGAGCTTTTATGCTGCTGCAACTAGGGGAACAAATGTTGTTTCAGATGTTGGATGGAAAACATGGTGCCATTAGTGGGGAAACAACTAACCCAACCAACATCATTCCCACACTGCCAGTCAAACTCGTGTTCAAGGAGAATGTGATCTGAAGCCAGTGTTCCCTTTACCTTTTGAAACTGAAAGTACAGGACCAGTGTACCACTGACAATGTATTTATATAGGAGAGTGCTTGAAAAATTGGTGTTCACGTCTTGAATTTCATCAATACCGGGTCTTTTTTACCCTCATTTGGGGGTAATGGGAAACACTGTGAAGCTCTGACTATCTGACTTACTTGCACATATTACTTCACTCCAGGCCAAAGGCTACCAAGGTGGTAGAAGAATAGGTCTGTGCAGAGCTACTCTTAAAATTGGTCTATTTTACAGTAACATTTTACATACTCCCTTTCCAGGAAATAGCAGGCTTCATCAGGACAATATTACCTTCAACTCTATATCTAAAGTACTCTTAGGGCAGGCAGATTTACATTGTGGCTTGTGACATTTAGAGTGAAGAGCGATAACTCTCCAGTGCTAAATATGATAACTTCCCTGCTAGTTGGTGTCCATTCGAGCAGTACTAATTAATATGATATTCAAAATCCTTCATGCTTAAGCAATCAATAAAAAATATACAATTTATGTAAAAATCAATAGATAAAACAGTTGATGTTCATCTAAGCACACAGTTGAAGACGACTCTGATATGTACTGTAACCTGTGTTAGTCCACAAAAACATCTTCCTCCAATGAATTGTGGGTAGATGCTATAATGTCGGAATCGCTTAAAGCTAGGTCCTCTTTCAAAAGTTTCATGGTCTTCTCTAAAAATGGGTCTTGATGGAGGTCTGCCAGAGATGACATTTGTGGCTGGCCTCATCCTAAACTTTACCAACTCCAGAAGCTTCCTTGTTAATGATTCAAATGGCCTGTTATTTTTTGGCATTTTCCTTTACTTTATCCTCAAAGACTTTGGCTTCCTCATGATAGCTGGGGTGAAAATTGTTTATGTGTCTTTTGTAATCACCCTGTCTTCCGGATGTTCTCATTACACATTTTACATCTATACCAGGATAGCCCAGTATCTCGGGAAATACGCATACATCCTAAGACAGAGCTCGCCAACTGAAAAAATTCTTAATTACCGTGTGATCATGGCTTTCAAGAAACCAAAATCTATCAGAGACATTCTTATTAGAACGGATATTAATCAGAGCACACTCAAATATGGGACCAAATAAATTCTGAAAGAACCCGCCTCTAGTCTGTTGGATTGATTCTGATATATTTAAGCTTACCCCTTCTCATCAATCCCCTGCATACCTTCGGGTAAACAGGCTAAAGGCGAACAACCTTGACGTCTCCATTTATGGTACTACAGTGTTGGCTCTACTCTTAGGACATAGAGGTCATTATTTATTTCAATGCCACTGTGAGGATTGATATGTAAGACCCCTGGTATACTAATCTGATGCTCAACTGATCAAACTAAAGAGAAGGTCTTTCCAGCTGAGTTCTGTAGTGCAGCTAGTATTTTACCAGGTTTACATATGACAAGTGATGGGACGATGATCAGATGAAGTTGATTATCTAATTCTTTTATCAGATGCGATGATTGATTGTAATTTTTCATTATCAGTCATTATATCAGTGCCTTAGTATTAAAAAAAAAACAAAAACAAAATTTATGTTATGCTTAATAAAGGTTCCAATCTCCAATCATATTTCAAATTCTAGGTAATTGAGGTATTTAAGGTTAAAGTTAAAACAGTAAATATTGTTGCAATAGAGAGTGCATTACCTTCAATAAATATCAAACAAACAGTCAGCGGATGATGTAATTGTTTAACTTCATTGAAAAGTCTATCCAGTTTTTCCTGATAATGGTTGGTACATATGTATGTAATTTTTCATCAAGGATTTTTATCAACAAAACACAGTATACATGACAATTTTATCTCAAAGGTGTTAACATTTCAGAGCTTTGGGGTCAAGTTCAAGGTTCACCATTACTATTTTTAAAACATTCTTGTCAGTGGCTTCAATTTTTGAGGTGTTTCAATCAAAATTAACATGTTTGTACAGAACAACTATATCTCAGAAGAATTTGAGTTTCAGGGTCTTAGGTTCAAGATGATGGTCACTGTTGTTGTATTTAGAAAAATCTTGCCCGTGCTCAGAGATGCCACAGGCATACTTAAAGACTTCTATGATAGGTATCAGCAGCTTGATGTTTTTGAAAGGATTTTTATCAAACTTCACACACTTATGGAAGTGTATAATACAAAAGAAAAGTTAGAAGTTTCAGGTTTGTGTGTTCTAGGTCAGTATAACCGTTACATTTTTCAGAAAATCCTTAGTTTTCAAACAGGATTATTTCTGGAAAAGTTTAGATAAAACTTGACACACTTTGAAGGACTATAATATCTGGGTTTCAGTGTTGCAGGGTCTAGTTTAAGGTCACCATTACTATTTTATGAAAAGTTTTGTCAGCTTTCTGATGGCTTCATTCCTGGAGGAATTTGGATCAAACTTCAGACAATTTTGTATTGCACTTAAGTCAGGATGGAACCACACGAGATATGCATCATTTATGGTGCCTTGTGTCAGTTTGTTTTACTATGCTCCTTATTATTTTCTTGAGGACTGAGATTTTTTCCAGATTTAAACCTTGGATTCTTTAATTCCACTTCCAGTGGGATTTTGGGGAAAAGAATAGGGAAATGCACATTCCTGTTGAATACCCAGATAGCTATTAAACTCTCTGTTAAGGTCTCTGTTATGATAATCCACAACTGTGCATCTGAGCCAAGAAAGCATGCCCACTCAGCTGATATTCAGACTGTAACACTATGTACAAACCACACCGACCTGTTTTTCTTACAGACAGCGGTCTTCCATTAACTGTCTCTAAGCAATACAATTGAAGACTTCAAAGTTGTTTGTCAACTACTGGAAAATAATTTGTGAATTAAGATATAATCTTGTTACACTTGATAATGGTTCAACAGAGTTTACATAATCAACATTCAAAGTTTTTAGAAAGATTTTGTCAAATTGCTTAGAAAGAAAACACTGACCATCATTTTGGTGAACACTGTAAGCTTAAATGACCTTTGGTACAGGGGCATCATAACTGTCGTCATTGTGCTGGAGGGCCATTAGGTCATTTTCTGATATCAAAAATATATGATCTCAGATGATGAAAATGGAAACAAATGTTGATAATGTTTTCTTTGATTTACAGGCATCTTCTAAGGATGTGGTGTTACGGATCTGTAATGAGTCTTTTATATACAGAGACAAACAGCAATATTCAGATGGTGTGTTGACAAGTGTTGGGGAAGCTCTCTCTTTGGACTCAAACAAGAGTAGACAGGTAAGGCGTAGGAACCTCCTCCTTCTCCATACAAATAAAAATTAGGGTGAAGAAATGCCATGTCCTTCGACCCACACTAGTGTAGACATTGGTAGGGTTCTCTCCCTTGACCAACATGCAAAGGCAATTAGACAAAGTCAGATGACAATTGTCTCTCTTCTAACGCAAAAAAAAAAGTAAACAGGTAATTTAGATACCTCCTCAGGTGACAGTGGTTGCATTTATTAAACTTGTAAATCCATGGCAGGAATGGTGATGGAATTTAATCTGTTTAGATAAGTTTAAACTCTTTTTGAGGGTCAAAGAAGTGGAATGAACAGCTGCAGATAAATGGAATCGTTTTCTGATGTGGATTACGGTACGAGCTACGATTGCACGGTGCTCCAGCATAATTTAATCTCTTATTTGAAATGACAGTAAATAAACAACAAGTAATAGGTTTGTATGTTCTCATATTTCCAAATAACAAAACATGTAATAACAATACAAATAACACATGTCAATTAAAGGAAACTAAAATTTGCATTTGATATGATACTAGAAATGATGTATGAAGCTACAAGATCGTATTAACATAGCTTTACTATGAATGAATAAACATATGTAAAAGGTGACACAGGAATGTTTTTACCTGCTATAGAAAACAAACATTTTACAAGTGCTATAGAAAACAAACATTATACAAGTGCTATAGAAAACAAACATTATACAAACACTAGATTTAACAAATCAAGCACAGATATAGATTCTATCAATTGAAAATACTTTCAGCACTGTATTGTCCCAGCACTAAATCTAGAAAAGTACCCAGTCAAAGTCCTTTGATAAACAAGCACGAAAATTAGTTTCTTTCAGAATTGTTGGGGTCAGATTTAGTTGAAAAGTTTACATTGGATGGATGGTGTTTCGCTTTTATCCTTCCTAAAGATGCATGCAACCAAGCTAACTGTATTCATGTCTTGTGTAAATGTGCTACTTGTTTGATATACAGGTTAATTATTGCTGCAGGATAGTGACATTAATTAAAAAGCCAACATTTAATAGGATAATTAAATTGTTAATTAATTGCCAGAGACCAAATTGTGTGCATACAATGAACAAATACACTATAATAGTAAGCCTTGTGTTAATCACAGGTGACATTTGACTCTGTGTATGTTTTGACCAATTTCTTCAGAAGACACGCAGATGATTTGACAATAGTTAATTCTTAGACAAGAAATGACTTTCCTTTCTTTACAATTGAAAGGATCAAAAAATCACTTCAACTCAAACAAAATTTTGACTCAAGGAATTTAGAGTCATTTGAACTAAACTTACAAAGATGAAAGAGGAAAAGGATTTAGACTTGGAAATGATTTCGACTAAAAAAGAATTTTTTCTCTGGCTATTTCAAGACATCAAATTTCAACTGTATTCTAGGGTGAACGTAACACTGGATGAAACTAAACAGTATTATGTGAGAGGAAAAAACCCCAGGACAAATGTTAAAGTATACTGTATGTATAACCTTGTAGGAAATTTTCATGCTTTATTGTACCCTGGTATATATTTTGTTAGGTCCAAACATCATGTATCAATGAAATGTATAGTTCTTATTAAAAATTTCTTTTTGCAGTTGGTTCAGTCACTTGGTGTTCTATTGAAGACAGCAGTTTTCCATGGGGACGCAACACCGTCTAGTCTTCAGTCTCTTTTTCCAAGTAAGTTCTGACTTACAGCTAAAGGTTGCAGCTAGCCCATTGATATAAGTGATGTCTGTTATATTGGTGCCCATTGATATTAATAGTGATCTCTATTTTATTGTAAATCGTACAGTGGTGAAAAGAGTTAGCCATTAATTGTGACCTTTTTTAGCCCACCATCTAATAGATGGTGGGTTATTCAAATCGCCCTGCGTCCGTGGTCCGTCCGTTCGTCTTGTTATCGCTATTTCTGGAAAAGTACTGGATGGATCTTTCTCAAATTTCATATGCAGGTTCCCCTTGGTCCCTAGTTGTGCATTGTACCTTTTTTGAACTGATTCACATTCAAGATGGCCGACAGGTGGCCATCTTGGATTTTGGAAGTAAAAGTTTGTTACTGCTATTTCTGAGAAAGTACTGGATGGATCTTCCTCAAATTTCATATGCAGTTTCCCCTTGGTCCCTAGTTGTGCATTGTACCTTTTTTGGACTGATTCGAATTCAAGATGGCCGACAGGCAGCCATCTTGGATTTTGGAAGTAAAAGTTTGTTACTGCTATTTCTGAGAAAGTACTGGATGGATCGTCCTCAAATTTCATATGCAGTTTCCCCTTGGTCCCTAGTTGTGCATTGTACCTTTTTTGGACTGATTCACATTCAAGATGGCCGACAGGCAGCCATCTTGGATTTTGGAAGTAAAAGTTTGTTACTGCTATTTCTTGGAAAGTACTGGATGGATCTTTCTCAAATTCCACATGCAGTTTTCCCTTGGTCCCTAGTTGTGCATTGTACCTTTTTTGGACTGATTCGAATTCAAGATGGCCGACAGGCAGCCATCTTGGATTTTGAATGTAAAAGTTTGTTACTGCTCTTTCTGAGAAAGTACTGGATGGATCTTTCTCAAATTTCATATGCAGTTTCCCCTTGGTCCCTTGTTGTGCCTTGTACCTTTTTTGGACTGATTTGAATTCAAGATGGCAGACAGGTGGCCATCTTGGATTTTGAATGTAAAAGTTTGTTACTGCTATTTCTTGGAAAGTACTGGATGGATCTTTCTCAAATTTCATATGCAGGTTCTCTTTGGTTCCAAGTTGTGCATTATACCTTTTTGGACTGATCCGAAATCAAGATGGCTGACAGGCAGCCATCTTGGATTTTGAGAGTAAAATCTTGTTACTGCTATATCTGAGGAAGTACTGGATGGATCCTTCTGATATTTCATAGATATTGGTTTCCCTTGGTCCCTAGTTGTGCATTGTACCTTTTTGGACTGATTTGAAATCAAGGTGGCCCACAGGCAGCCATCTTGGATGTCGACAGTAATACAGCACAAGCATATTGTCCATTATCCACCTGTAACTGACTGCTATCTAATAATACTTTGGTATCTTTTTCAAATGATATTTGCTAATAGGTGCTTAATAAAAATATCTTGTGCCATCATTGAGTACATTCAATGAAGACCAGTTCATGAACATTTACAACACCTGTAACAAACAAAAAAAATAAACAAATCTTCAAGAACTGAAAACAGATCCTCAAACGGTGGGCGCCAAGATCCCTTTGGGATCTATTGTTGAGGTATAAAGCAGTTTATAGTGCTCCTTCAGCTTTAACAATCTGACTTGGTCACACGTTTGCTTAGTAAGTGGTATGTATTATCAAATTCAAATGAAAGTGAAATTTCACAATAAGATCCTTATTCTCTTACTATATTCCATCCCAGTCAATGTTGTATATCCTTTTTCAGGTAATTTTCATAAAAATCTGAGAGATCTGTTGGTCAAGACAATGATGGAAAACATGAACAACTGGAGGAACAGCGCATTAAATAATCAGGGTATGTAATAGATAATCAGGGTATGTAATAGATAATCTGGGTATGTATGTAACAGACAATAGGGTATGTATGTAATAGATAATCAGGGTATGTATGTAATAGATAATCTGGGTATGTATGTAACAGACAATAGGGTATGTATGTAATAGATAATCAGGGTATGTATGTAATAGACAATAGGGTATGTATGTAATAGATAATCAGGGTATGTATGTAATAGACAATCAGGGTATGTATGTAATAGACAATAGGGTATGTATGTAATAGATAATCAGGGTATGTATGTAATAGATAATCAGGGTATGTAATAGATAATCTGGGTATGTATGTAATAGACAATAGGGTTATGTATGTAATCAGGGTATGTATGTAATAGACAATAGGGTATGTATGTAATAGATAATCAGGGTATGTATGTAATAGACAATCAGGGTATGTATGTAGTAGATAATCAGGGTATGTTTGTAATAGACAATCAGGGTATGTATGTAATAGACAATCAGGGTATGTATGTAATAAATAATGAGGGTATGTATGTAATAGATAATCAGGGTATGTATAAAATAATGAGGGTATGTATGTAATAAATAATGAGGGTATGTATGTAATAGATAATCAGGGTATGTATGTAATAGACAATAGGTTATGTATGTAATAGACAATAGGGTATGTATGTAATAGATAATCAGGGTACGTATGTAATAGATAATGAGGGTATGTATGTAATAGATAATCAGGGTATGTATAAAATTATGAGGGTATGTATGTAATAAATAATGAGGGTATGTATGTAATAGATAATCAGGGTATGTATGTAATAGATAATTAGGGTATATATGTAATAGATAATCTGGGTATGTATGTAATAGATTATCAGGGTATGTATGTAATAGACAATAGGGTATGTATGTAATAAATAATGAGGGTATGTATGTAATAGACAATCAGGGTATGTATGTAATAGACAATCAGGGTATGTATGTAATAGACAATCAGGGTATGTATGTAATAGACAATCAGGGTATGTATGTAGTAGATAATCAGGGTATGTATGTAATAGATAATCAGGGTATGTATGTAATAGACAATAGGGTATGTATGTAATAGATAATCAGGGTATGTATGTAATAGATAATCAGGGTATGTATGTAATAGATAATCAGGGTATGTAATAGATAATCTGGGTATGTATGTAATAGATAATCAGGGTATGTATGTAATAGATAATCAGGGTATGTATGTAATAGACAATAGGGTATGTATGTAATAGATAATCAGGGTATGTATGTAATAGACAATCAGGGTATGTATGTAGTAGATAATCAGGGTATGTTTGTAATAGACAATCAGGGTATGTATGTAATAGACAATCAGGGTATGTATGTAATAAATAATGAGGGTATGTATGTAATAGATAATCAGGGTATGTATGTAATAGATAATCAGGGTATGTATAAAATAATGAGGGTATGTATGTAATAAATAATGAGGGTATGTATGTAATAGATAATCAGGGTATGTATGTAATAGACAATAGGTTATGTATGTAATAGACAATAGGGTATGTATGTAATAGATAATCAGGGTACGTATGTAATAGATAATGAGGGTATGTATGTAATAGATAATCAGGGTATGTATAAAATTATGAGGGTATGTATGTAATAAATAATGAGGGTATGTATGTAATAGATAATCAGGGTATGTATGTAATAGATAATCAGGGTATATATGTAATAGATAATCTGGGTATGTATGTAATAGATTATCAGGGTATGTATGTAATAGACAATAGGGTATGTATGTAATAAATAATGAGGGTATGTATGTAATAGACAATCAGGGTATGTATGTAATAGACAATCAGGGTATGTATGTAATAAATATCAGGGTATATATGTAATAAATAATCAGGGTATGTATGTAATAGACAATAGGGTATGTATGTAATAGATAATCAGGGTACGTATGTAATAGATAATGAGGGTATGTATGTAATAGATAATCAGGGTATGTAATAAATAATGAGGGTATGTATGTAATAGACAATCAGGGTATGTATGTAATAGATAATCAGGGTATGTATGTAATAGATAATGAGGGTATGTATGTAATAGATAATGAGGGTATGTATGTAATAGACAATCAGGGTATGTATGTAAGGGTATGTATGTAATAGATAATCAGGGTATGTATGTAATAGATAATGAGGGTATGTATGTAATAGACAATCAGGGTATGTATGTAATAGATAATCAGGGTATGTATGTAATAGATAATCAGGGTATGTATGTAATAAATGAACTTCTCTTTTAATATTTTCAAAAGTTTGTGGGAGAGCATACAGTGTGTCCCCTGTTTATCCATCACGTCCTGTCTGTCTTATTCCAAATTGATGTTTTACTTTGAGAACCTCTGAACAGATTTGATTCATACAAACCCAATAGTATCATAACATTAAGTTTTATACCTAGTCATATAAAGATGGTCATTGGTCAAGGTTAAAGAGCCAAAGGTCACATTGACAACTTATGATATTTATCAAACTATGATATTGTAGCCAAGGTTACTGTTGTCGGTGTACCATTATACATGATTTTGTCTCATGTTCATTTTTTACTCTGATGATTAAATCAATGTTACTAATTTTCACCTCCACTTTTAATTTGCCCTCCCTGTTCATGAATGGAAGGATGAAATTATTTCCCAGTGTACAGTTTATCCTTTCATTAGAGACAAAATGAGAACAAAGCCAGCAGGGTCCCATGAAAAATTGATGTCCTCCATCAGCATTTGAATTGAAGGACAGTTCCTGTCTAAGTACCTGGTAGGCATTGATAAATTATAATGCTTTGGACCTTACTTCATATCAAAATAACTAATAAAATGGCTGACCCCCCAGCAGCTGATGTAGGACAAATAGATTCACCTTCTGTGGTTTACTTTTTATTAAAAGAAACCTCACAGATTTAAATCTCGTTCTAAAATAAAAACTTCTCCTTCAAACATCATGTAGCTAGGTGATCAATTAAATGTCTTTGTTCCTCCAGTATCTAAAGTCTAAATTGAAATTACTGAAAGACTTTGAAGTAACATAAAATTCTTAATTAGAGTTAAAAGATTATCATTTCTCATGGTTAAGATTTCCTATTGTTGTAATTTGCAGAATAAATTGGATGGATTCTGCAAGATTTCTTAGGTATCCTGTATTTTAAATCTTCAGATTTGTTATGTGATATATTGATACTGACTATAGTTATGTGATATATTGATACTGACTATAGTTATGTGATATATTGATACTGACTATAGTTATGTGATATAGCCAATTAACGATAACTATACAGTAACATGACCCGCCCATGACCCACGGCGCCACTGACCCTACTGACACACCATCAGACGACGAGAACGCCATTTATTACAACGACCAGACAGAGGAAGACAACTTCAACGCCGAGGAGCCACAGTGACGACGACGACTTCTGGGGTTTCGAGAAACGCTATTAAACCGGCCTGCTATGTATTAAGACTTTCTGATAAACGATCCATAATCAAAATGGGGAAAGGGGAATAACTCTAACTTTATTCATGTGACAAAGTCAAACAAAATGGACACACACAAATACTATTCAACGCCGAGGAGATACTGACTATAGTTATGTGATATATTGATACTGACTATAGTTATGTGATATATTGATACTGACTATAGTTATGTGATATATTGATACTGACTATAGTTATGTGCTTTGTTGAAACTTACTTTAATTACACCTTTGAGTGTAACCCTTGAACGTCAATCTGTCATAACTTCGTTTCCACACCATTACTTGGATATAAACATGTAGTTGTATAGAACTGTAATTTATTATGTAGTTTGATAATGATATGCAGGTCAGACTGAGTTTCCTGTGTTATCAATTCATTAATTTAAGTTATGGTTCTCTGACAGTCAGACCAATTATGAAGAACCTTACTCAATTGGGAATAAGAATAAAAGAAAGATATATGGACAGAAATTCAGTTTTATTCCAGATTCTTAATCATGAACTCTGCGGACAGAACTTCCATTTTATATCAGAAGTCATGAGTAAAACAATGCAATTAACACTAAAAAAACCCTAAAATACCTTTTTTTCCTTGGTTGCCAGTAGTAATTCACTACAACACATCTATTTTTCTTACATTGATTCTTAACTAAATCATGTCTGATATTGAAACTAAATATCATTATGTCAAATATTGAAACTGACTATAGCTATGCCTCATATTTAATTACAGATGGTGTGAATTGCTTCATTCTGTTTATACAAATGTATAAGAAAGTATATTTGTTTGTTTTAGTGTCCTTGCCTCGCCTAGTAGACTTTGATTGGAGGGTAGATATCAAGACATCTTCTGACACAATTACTAGAATGTCTGTCCCTACCTGTATTCTACAGATGAAGGTAAGCTATCAGACAGGGTTACTAGAATGTCTGTCCCTACCTGTGTTCTACAGATGAAGGTAAGCTATCAGACAGGATTACTAGAATGTCTGTCCCTACCTGTGTTCTACAGATGAAGGTAAGCTATCAGACAGGGTTACTAGAATGTCTGTCCCTACCTGTATTCTACAGATGAAGGTAAGCTATCAGACACAGACAGGGTTACTAGAATGTATGTCCCTACCTGTGTTCTACAGATGAAGGTAAGCTATCAGACAGGATTACTAGAATGTCTGTCCCTACCTGTGTTCTACAGATGAAGGTAAGCTATCAGACAGGATTACTAGAATGTCTGTCCCTACCTGTGTTCTACAGATGAAGGTAAGCTATCAGACAGGATTACTAGAATGTCTGTCCCTACCTGTGTTCTACAGATGAAGGTAAGCTATCAGACAGGATTACTAGAATGTCTGTCCCTACCTGTGTTCTACAGATGAAGGTAAGCTATCAGACAGGATTACTAGAATGTCTGTCCCTACCTGTGTTCTACAGATGAAGGTAAGCTATCAGACAGGATTACTAGAATGTCTGTCCCTACCTGTGTTCTACAGATGAAGGTAAGCTATCAGACAGGATTACTAGAATGTCTGTCCCTACCTGTGTTCTACAGATGAAGGTAAGCTATCAGACAGGATTACTAGAATGTCTGTCCCTACCTGTGTTCTACAGATGAAGGTAAGCTATCAGACAGGATTACTAGAATGTCTGTCCCTACCTGTGTTCTACAGATGAAGGTAAGCTATCAGACAGGATTACTAGAATGTCTGTCCCTACCTGTGTTCTACAGATGAAGGTAAGCTATCAGACACAGACAGGGTTACTAGAATGTCTGTCCCTACCTGTGTTCTACAGATGAAGGTAAGCTATCAGACAGGATTACTAGAATGTGTTACCTGTGTTCTACAGATGAAGGTAAGCTATCAGACAGGATTACTAGAATGTCTGTCCCTACCTGTGTTCTACAGATGAAGGTAAGCTATCAGACAGGATTACTAGAATGTCTGTCCCTACCTGTGTTCTACAGATGAAGGTAAGCTATCAGACAGGATTACTAGAATGTCTGTCCCTACCTGTGTTCTACAGATGAAGGTAAGCTATCAGACAGGATTACTAGAATGTCTGTCCCTACCTGTGTTCTACAGATGAAGGTAAGCTATCAGACAGGATTACTAGAATGTCTGTCCCTACCTGTGTTCTACAGATGAAGGTAAGCTATCAGACAGGATTACTAGAATGTCTGTCCCTACCTGTGTTCTACAGATGAAGGTAAGCTATCAGACAGGATTACTAGAATGTCTGTCCCTACCTGTGTTCTACAGATGAAGGTAAGCTATCAGACAGGATTACTAGAATGTCTGTCCCTACCTGTGTTCTACAGATGAAGGTAAGCTATCAGACAGGATTACTAGAATGTCTGTCCCTACCTGTGTTCTACAGATGAAGGTAAGCTATCAGACAGGATTACTAGAATGTATGTCCCTACCTGTGTTCTACAGATGAAGGTAAGCTATCAGACAGGATTACTAGAATGTCTGTCCCTACCTGTGTTCTACAGATGAAGGTAAGCTATCAGACAGGATTACTAGAATGTATGTCCCTACCTGTGTTCTACAGATGAAGGTAAGCTATCAGACAGGATTACTAGAATGTCTGTCCCTACCTGTGTTCTACAGATGAAGGTAAGCTATCAGACAGGATTACTAGAATGTCTGTCCCTACCTGTGTTCTACAGATGAAGGTAAGCTATCAGACAGGATTACTAGAATGTCTGTCCCTACCTGTGTTCTACAGATGAAGGTAAGCTATCAGACAGGATTACTAGAATGTCTGTCCCTACCTGTGTTCTACAGATGAAGGTAAGCTATCAGACAGGATTACTAGAATGTCTGTCCCTACCTGTGTTCTACAGATGAAGGTAAGCTATCAGACAGGATTACTAGAATGTCTGTCCCTACCTGTGTTCTACAGATGAAGGTAAGCTATCAGACAGGATTACTAGAATGTCTGTCCCTACCTGTGTTCTACAGATGAAGGTAAGCTATCAGACAGGATTACTAGAATGTCTGTCCCTACCTGTGTTCTACAGATGAAGGTAAGCTATCAGACAGGATTACTAGAATGTCTGTCCCTACCTGTGTTCTACAGATGAAGGTAAGCTATCAGACAGGGTTACTAGAATGTCTGTCCCTACCTGTGTTCTACAGATGAAGGTAAGCTATCAGACAGGATTACTAGAATGTCTGTCCCTACCTGTGTTCTACAGATGAAGGTAAGCTATCAGACAGGGTTACTAGAATGTCTGTCCCTACCTGTGTTCTACAGATGAAGGTAAGCTATCAGACTACAGATGAAGGTAAGCTATCAGACAGAATTACTGTCCCTACCTGTGTTCTACAGATGAAGGTAAGCTATCAGACAGGATTACTAGAATGTCTGTCTCTATCTGTGTTCTACAGATGAAGGTAAGCTATCAGACACAGACAGGGTTACTAGAATGTATGTCTCTACCTGTGTTCTACAGATGAAGGTAAGCTATCAGACAGGATTACTAGAATGTCTGTCCCTACCTGTGTTCTACAGATGAAGGTAAGCTGTCAGACAGGATTACTAGAATGTCTGTCCCTACCTGTGTTCTACAGATGAAGGTAAGCTATCAGACAGGATTACTAGAATGTCTGTCCCTACCTGTGTTCTACAGATGAAGGTAAGCTATCAGACAGGATTACTAGAATGTCTGTCCCTACCAGTGTTCTACAGATAAAGGTAAGCTATCAGACAGGATTACTAGAATGTCTGTCCCTACCAGTGTTCTACAGAGGAGGATAACTCTCAGACAGGGTTACTAGAATGTCTGTCTCTATCTGTGTTCTACAGATGAAGGTAAGCTATCAGACACAGACAGGGTTACTAGAATGTATGTCTCTACCTGTATTCTACAGATAAAGGTAAGCTCTCAGACAGGATTACTAGAATGTCTGTCCCTACTTGTGTTCTACAGAGGAGGATAACTCTCAGGCAGGGTTACTAGAATGTATGTCCCTACCTGTATTCTACAGATGAAGGTAAGCTGTCAGACAGGATTACTAGAATGTCTGTCCCTACCTGTGTTCTACAGAGGAAGGTATTGTAAATTTGGTAATATTTAAAAAACTCTTTAATAGCACTCTATCCACAGTCATTAGGGCCCCGCATCGCGATGCGGGTGCCCTATAGTAATCACCTTGTCCGTCTGTCCGTCTGTCCGTCTGTCCGTCCGTCTGTCTGTCTGTCCGTTTCGCTTTCCGCACGATATCTTGAGAAGGAATGATGAGATTTCGATGAAACTTGCTTATGATACTTGGTACATAAGTCCCTCGCTCAAGTTCGATGTTCGCCAAATTCCGCGCATATTTAATGAGGCTGCTGCAATCTGATTGGCTGAATGTTTTACATGTCTGTCGGTTTCGCTTTCCGCGTGATATCTTGAGAAGGAATGATGGGATTTCGATGAAACATGCTTATGATACTTGGTACATAAGTCCCTCGCTCAAGTTCGATGTTTTTTGTTTTCAATTCTTGCCATGAAATTCATACCATTTTCAATTATTTACATACTGCTATTACCATTTTTCAATATTTCTTAATATTAAGAAACTCAATCATAAGGGGTAGGTATTATGCGGGGCCCTTCCTCGACATTGGTCTAGTTTCAGTGTGAAATTAGATCTACAGTTAATCTGAGGAGTGTATGTCATGCCTATATACATGGATACCAATGTTATAGGCTTTTATGAAATTTAATACCTGGACAAGGACATCTGTGAAATTTTAGTCCCATGAAATTCAGCCACAATAGTGTCCTCATACTTAATTACCGTAAATTTCTGCGTATAGTGCACACTTTTTCAAGCTAAAACTATCGTGTCAAAAAGGGGATACGCATTATACGCAGGAACATGCCATTCTTTGGGTTATCATTCCCAAGTTCTGCGTCCGCCATATTGGATTACCTCCCTTCACATAGTTATATGTAATAGTTGTCGTTCATGTATGATAGTTTGGAGATAAAAACAACAAATAAATAAATAAAATTTGAATGTTTCAATCATTGGCCCTACATGCTGGCATTACGGTGAATCTAATTTTTTTTTCGTTTCCCGTTGTCCGAATAGTCACTGTCTTACTATTGGTCGGGGCTATAGTAGTGTCTGAATCTCTGGAATTCAATGAGTCCGGAAGTTTTTGGGCGAATGTCGTTCTGTTCATAAATCGGACAGCCTATCCCAGGTAACAGGACTTTATGTAGATAAAGGTTAAATGTCATTTGAAACTTATTCTAGGATGTCTTCAGATAGCATCTGCAACAGGCAAAGATATAACTAAGGGTTATTCATAAATATACAGAACAATTTAAACAAAATCAGTTTCTGGTTTGTATAAAATAAGAATAGAAATAGAATAGAAGAAATGCACATACATATTGATTGAAAAGAAAAGTATTTCTGAGTTTTGTGTTGACCTAATGGTTCATTTGACATTGGATCTTGTTATGAAGTTTAAGGTTGTGAACTAAAATGTGAAGAATTTTCCAAATGTGGAAATAAACCTATGGTCAGATTGTGTCTAGTTGTTAATTGGAACTCAGCATTGAAAGAAAGGCTTGACTTTTCTGTATTATTTGTTTAGATCTTAACTACTTACCACTTAAGAATACCTGTCAAAGTCATTTATAAAAATATCCTACATATAATATAGATACAATCACATCAAAATATAATCATCATCTGTAGTTTTCATGTGAGTTACTGCCATTTTCGAAACACCAACTGTTTTTGTTAATTCTTTTGAGAGTTGTTCGTTTATGAAATAAGAACAGATATGTTGGTCTTATGTTCTTGGTATCATAAAATATGTAGGGTTACTTCAAATGACAAGCTTGTCTAAAGTTTTTCATTTTTCTGTGGACAGTTAGTTCAAGTTGGCAGAAATCCATTGCTTCCTGAAAATATTTTTGACCCAGAAATCATTTCTTTATTTCATTTGATTGTACTTCATTGTTTCTTCTACTAGGTTCAAGAAAATGCTACAGAAGTGGATCAAACCCCCGACGTAGAACATGTTAATGTGGAACTCTCCAAGGAAACTTTGGACACCATGTTGGATGGACTATCAAAAATCCGTGACCAATTGTCGTCAGTGGCTAAACGGTGACACAGCCTTGTCGTTATTTGCCAATGGACTAGTAACTATCCATGGCTAACTCTATTTATTGGTGTGACCAGTTGGACTAGTATTTGTTTAGAAAATAAGGATGGACCTACTAACCTTATTTTAAGTATAAGTCCATCAAGGCCTGTATTCCTGTTTACAGGTCCATCCGGAATTGTGAATGTTACATTTAAGGTGCTCTGGAACAGTTTGACATAAGTTGAAGATTTGTGTCAAAAAAGAAAGATTACGAAAGTGCTAATTTTGATAGAAAGTATGCATGTTAACTTATGTTTTGTATGTGGATCCCATTTAATCCAATATACTGTGAAATTGTATAGAGAGATTGGATATCTTCATTTCACTGTATGATAACGTACAGACGATATACACCTTTATCTTATTGTTTACTGGGAAGGTTGTTATTTTCTGGAGTGATCCTGGTTTGCACGATTCTCATGGATGGAATAAAATTGCAAAAAATAGACACCTAAAAATAGATATCTGGAAAAAGATACATTTACTTTGAAAATAAAATTTATGATGGAACCAACAGTCCATTTCACAAAAAATACGCCAAACCCTGAATTTTGAAACCATCCATACAAAAATGGCTATATACTTATTAGAAGAAATTTTGTGTTTGAACATGTTTTTTGTGTATCATTTACCTGCAGATCATTCATCATTTGTCTGGGTGTCCTTCACACTGCAAAGTTAAGTTTGTAAAAGTTACAAGATAATGTAAGGATAGCTGCGATACATTCCATTTACCATGTGACGTTCTGTATTAAGCTGTTGTCTAAAGTTTGCAGTGTAAGGGAGGTAACTTCACTTTTTATCACGTCCAGAAAAACTCCAAATGAAACCCAAATATATTGTTGTTTTAGAGTTTAAGACTCAATCAATTATGTATTCATTTCTTTATAAAGTGTTGGAAATATATTAAATTATATCAAGGAAATAGAAAAATAAATAAAAAAAACAAAGGATGATTAGCAAATATAATCTATTATACTAATCTATTTGTATCTATATACAAAATTTGTCAAGTTCTGAACTTACCATTATCACTATGGCAACAGGAAAGATATTTCTTATGGAAACAGTATATGAATACTGATAACACCAAAGCTGATAGCCTAATTATTTTATGTCACCTGGTTGGAAGGACCGATGAACTGATGCCATGCCACATCCTAAGTCATCTGCCATTTGTCAACTTTTCATTAAAAATCGCAACTGGTCATGCATAAATGACTGAATGGACAAAATTTGATCAGAAGCAAACTTGGGAAAGAAGAACGGGAAAATGAGAACTTTCACATCCTTCTTCTGTAGGAAGGATTTGATTTTGTCCAAATTGGTGTGAAAGGACTCAATTTTATATAAATGGTGAGTCTCAAACCCACAATGCAGGAGGGGCAGGGCCCAGTAATGGGAAAAAAGGGCAGATCCTTTCAAATCCTTCCTTTGCAGGAACGCTTGGATTCTGTCCAAATTTAGCCTGATGCATCATTCAGTGAAGGGGTATTGATTTTGTATAAATGGTAGGTTTCATTTCCCTGGGGTGGGGGACGTGGGGCTTGATAGGTGGTATGTTGTAGAAATGGCGATATTTTGTCCTAATTTGGGAGGACGGTAAGGGCAATGCCCAAAGACGGAAAAATAGAAAATCTTCAAAATTTTCCTTTAGTTTGGATATAGCAAAACCTGATGTGCGATACAGGCCCTATGGGCTTTTTGATATTTATCAGCAGGAAATGTATCCCTGATATTGAAATTTAATAAAGCACAAAAAAAACCTACATTGTGGCTTTTGTTATTTATATGTGTATATGGTTGAATTTAAATACTGAACTGTCTTCTTTGAGTAATTACATTCAATATAAGGTTTCCAGGCACACATAACATTGGACGTAATGTTGGGGTTATATTTAGTTAGCTTGTAAAGAATTTTTTTTCTGAATTGATCATGAATACAATAGCGACACAATTCAATACTCCTATTTGCATATCCTATATCTATTCCCTGCTTATGCCAATCTAAATCAATATTAACTGAAATGTTTTATTCATGAACACTGCATGGATGCCATGTACAGTTCTTAACATTACACTGTTTAAGTCGCCTGAGACAGTCTCAAGGTGACCTATTGCCATCACCTTCATCTGGCGTCATGCGTCTGTAAACAATTTAACATTTCAAACTTCTGAAAAACTCCTGATACGATTTGAATGAAATTTTGCAGAAAACTTCCTTGGCCTAAGATGAACCAAAATTGTGAATTATTAAGTCCCCCACCTCACAGGGGCCTGAGAGGCGAGGCCAAAAGGGGTCAAATTGACTCAGATTTCAAAAATCTTCTCGATACCCAGATATAGTAGAATCAAATGTTTTTCATGGATGGAAGCATCTGAAGTTGCTTAATCAAAGTTGTGAATTTCATGGCCCCAAGTTGTCACATTTCCCTGTGGTGAGGGGGTAAAGTTTACTCTAGTTTTTATTGGATAAAAAGAATTTAAAGCAAAATTTCTTTAATTTCGGCTAGAAATATTTTAAACTTTGTTAGGGTTATAGGTGAAGGATGACGGCTTGATGGTATACCCATATTGATCCTGACTGACCCCCTGGGGCTGATGGGCGGGGCAAAAGGGGTCAAATTGAATTAAATTTCAAATATCTCTCAACATCAAGATATGGTAGAATCAAATGCTCTGATGAATAGAAGCATGGAAGGGTGCTTTAATTACCAAAATGAGTCTCACATTTCTTCCTAATGAGGAAATTGTTTTTGAACTTTACTGTAATTTTCAAAGAAAAATTGCATTTTCAGCACAACATTGGTTATTTCCCACTGGAAATAAACTTTATAAGAATTATTAGTATAGGATGACAGTTTTGATGGTATGCATGTATTGACACTAGCTCACTATATTCAGAGTCACAATTTCTGTTTCACGACATTTGATAGCTATCCTTTAACCTTTATATTTGATATCTAAGGTGACTATCAAGGCCACTAGGCCTCTTGTTAACTCACCTGGCAAAGCCTGACAAAGTTTGCAACAGAAATGACATTGACTCTCATTCAAGGTCACAGGATTCAAATTGGTTCAAACCTTAAAACAACTTCTGATTACAAACGAAAAGCACAGAAGCATAGTATTTGGCTGACAGTTTCCTAGGATGAATCCTGACAAAATTTTTGAAAAGAAAAGACCTTAGTCCCTTATTCAAAGTCACAGGAGTCAAATTTTTGAAACGTTTTAAACAACTTTCTCGGGTAAACCAAAAGTTTGAGAAGCAGGATACACGGTTTCAAGGTCAAAGTCCAACTAATTTTGAGAAAATAAAAAGAAATAACATTTCTAATAATCGAGGTCATAACTGTTCGGAGTTGAGTATTAGCTGTTTGTTGCAAAAATTAGTTAAAATTGATTGGATGTGCCAGCATTGAATGCCAATAGTGTATGTGTTATGTATTTGTAATAAACACTGATTCTGTTTTTGATGAACACAGAATAGCAGGTGAGTGATGCAGGCCAATTGGACCTCATTTCTAATGAGGTAATATAGTGGCATAAATGTGTAAATGTATTTAGAAAGCTGTCTGCATCATGATCATAAATGACAAAAGAAAAACATGCTCCATATAGCCTTTAATGGTTGTTGTTTAAACATCATTGTAATGCATCAAACATAGGACAAAACACAAGGCTCTGATTGTATTAATATAAAGAGCCCAAACAAGGAACTATTAATATCCTCTACCATATAACATAACAATCAGCCACTGGACCAGATAACAGTCAACTAAACCAGCTACTGAAATGACAACTGTTCAGTGAACCATACATGTACATAGCAACAACAATATTGCATGGCAACTTGTCAGTGAACCATATGTAGCAACAACAACCAGCCACTAAAACATACCCTGTAACAATTGCTCAGTGAACTATTCACAACAACCAGTAAATATTTGTACTTTGTTCCCTTCATCTTTCAAAGAGCTGTATGCACCCTTCTGGTAGTATAGTTACAACAATCGGTCGCATCACCACATATATTCAAAACAATTTTAAAATTCAAAATACAACAAATGATATACAAATTACCATATAGCCTTTTTGAATTAGTCAAATTCTTTCTAAAATGTCAAAAATTATTGACAGTTTTATTTCAAAAAGATATTTTTGAATCTAAATCGCATATGAAAATTAAAATATTGACTCGTCTAACATTTTCTAAGTTCTTAAAATCTGGGATTTTTGTATTTGATGTATCCACTATAACTTTTCACAGCAGGCATGGTGTTGTGCTTGGCATTGTTTGACATCAAGCTATTCAGTTTTGTTCATTTTCTAGCTCACTATTATCCAATAACGGGCTCTGCATACACCAGTCTTATCCTTGTTACTGCCATTTCTGAAAAGTACTGGATGGATCTTTCTGAAGTACCATATGAAGATTCCTCTCTGTAACCAAAGCCAACATGAGGACTTCATTTTTCACTGTTGTTGTCAGGCGTTGTCAGGATTATAACCCTGTCACTTAGAATCCATCTATATCTAGAAATGACCAGTCAATTAGCTTTTTAACCAGCATATTTGCACAGTGGTTACTGGAATCACATTGCATTTTTTCCAGTGTGAAAAATATGATTTTATGATACAAGTAAATTGTAATGATATTTATACATACAATTCCAAAGAAGTAAAAAATTGTTACATAGCTATTTCTTCTGTATATTTATGTTATTGTAACTTTTACAGGATATGTAAGCTAGGCTTAATCTTCCCACAATCGTAGGCTACATTAGAAATGAAATCAGCACGGTATACATTTTCTTTCCTTGAGCAATTTTACTTCAGAAGTATGTATTTCTTATTTATTGCTGTACAAAAATATGTAAAACATTGATGGTCAAAATATGTTGAATAACATTTCCATTCAACAAAGAACATAAAATGAGCACTTAGATAAGTGCTTTATGGTCCCTGATTAGAAATGGTCATTTTCACTTCATCTGCAATGGGTACGATATATCTGAACAATTCCATTTATCAAATAACACCAATATGTCATTTATATCTTCTTTTCTTTTAGCTACCTTTAGCTTTAATTTTCATTAGGCCATCATCTAAATTATTATTTTCCTTGGGCCATCATTATTTTTATATCATCTAAATAACTATTTCTGTTGACCATCAGCTTAATCATTATTTTTTGTGGACCATCATTTAAATCATCATTTTTTATCATCTATCTAAATCATTATTTTTTATCATCTAAATCATTATTTTTTATCATCTAAATCATTATTTTTTATCATCTAAATCATTAATTTTTGTGGGCGATCATCAAAATCATTAATTTTTGTGGGCGATCATCAAAATCATTAATTTTTGTGGGCGATCATCAAAATCATTAATTTTTGTGGGCGATCATCAAAATCATTAATTTTTGTGGGTGATCATCAAAATCATTATTTTTGTTGGGTCATCATTTACATAATTAATTTCGTATCATTTAAATAATCTTTTTCATTGGGTCATTGTCTAAATGATTGTTTTTTTAATCATTTTTTTCATCTAAGTCGGTATTTTCTTTGGGACATCATTTACATCATTACATTCATTCGATCACTGTAAATTAAATGATGTAAAACATCACTTTTATTTGAATAGAAATGACAAGTTATTATGAAATTAAAAACAATCATTCCTTTTCAATACACTTAGAATGTAATAAAAATTACTAGTGCAGCAAAAATATGAAACTTTCAAATAATTCCTCACACATAACTATTATAAAGACTAGATCTGTCACTTTACAACAAACATCTCCATCAAATTTCTTGTATAGAAACGTTAACATGCTTAAGAAATAAGTGTTCAGCTTAAATTCACATTAAATACTACATATACAGGCAACAACAAACATTCCATAGGGAGTGCTGAGTACTAACAAAGTAACATAAAACATCAACAAAAACACGTACCACCATATAGTCAGAACCAAAGATCCCAAGGGCACCATGGCACCCACCGTTGTCTAATCTCCATTTGTTCTTAAATATCTACATATTTCCTCCTCATTAGATGAAATTTGAGAATTCCTTTTAAGATCTTTAATTGTCAAATCAAAGGCAGTCGCTTGTCAGCAATATTGTTTTTTAGATATCAAAATCAAAATGGCACAACTAGGGACCAACGGAAACCTTCACATGAAATTTAAAAAGAATCCCTCTGTACTTCTCCAGAAATAACAGAAAGAAGAATTGCTTAAGGACAGATGGAAAGTGATTTGATGATGGATGGTTAAAACAATGAATTACATGTAGACTTAAGAAAAACAAGTACATCCTGATTCCACAACAAGTTTATTTTTGTACAAGTTATTTCTGTGAGTGTTGAAGAAACGTTTTAAATAAGTTACAAATGTTAACAGGTGTCAACATCATGTAAGTGGAATGGTGTTTCCTTAAAGAATAAATAGTCACTTTTCTATATTGTAAACCATTTTTATTATTGTTGTAAGACTGCATTATGTATGTTCAACATAACTTTTCCATTGAAGACAAAAAAAACCCTTCATTTTCAGGAAATATGATATATATACTATTGATATCACTTTAAGGTTAGAGACCGAAAGTCTACATAGGTTTATCGATGGCGAGACCGATAGTCTACATAGGTTTATTGATGGTGAGACCGATAGTCTACATAGTTTTATCGATGGCGAGACCGAAAGTTTACATAGGTTTATCGACGGCGAGACCGATAGTCTACATAAGTTTATCGATGGTGAGACAGATAGTCTTAATAGGTTTATCGATGGCGAGACCGATAGCCTACATAGGTTTATTGATAGAGACCGATAGCCTACATAGGTTTATCGATGGCGAGACCGATAGCCTACATAGGTTTATTGATAGAGACCGATAGCCTACATAGGTTTATCGATGGCGAGACCGATAGCCTACATAGGTTTATTGATAGAGACCGATAGCCTACATAGGTTTATCGATGGCGAGACCGATAGCCTACATAGGTTTATTGATAGAGACCGATAGCCTACATAGGTTTATCGATGGCAAGACCGATGGCCTACATAGGTTTATCGATGGCGAGACCGATAGTCTACATAGGTTTATCGATGGCAAGACCGATAGTCTACATAAGTTTATCGATGGTGAGACAGATAGTCTTAATAGGTTTATCGATGGCGAGACCGATAGCCTACATAGGTTTATTGATACCGATAGCCTACATAGGTTTATCGATGGCGAGACCGATAGCCTACATAGGTTTATTGATAGAGACCGATAGCCTACATAGGTTTATCGATGGCGAGACCGATAGCCTACATAGGTTTATTGATAGAGACCGATAGCCTACATAGGTTTATCGATGGCGAGACCGATAGCCTACATAGGTTTATTGATAGAGACCGATAGCCTACATAGGTTTATCGATGGCAAGACCGATGGCCTACATAGGTTTATCGATGGCGAGACCGATAGTCTACATAGGTTTATCGATGGCAAGACCGATGGCCTACATAGGTTTATCGATGGCGAGACCGATAGTCTACATAGGTTTATCGATGGCACTTGTGTATATTTAATTACATTGCACATAATACCCCTTCTCCATGCTATTCTTATTTTCACTCATTCAAAAGTATTTTTAGTTCCTTCTTTAAGTGAAGACAGTGGCAAGTTAAAATTGTTAAGGTCCACAAATTTGAATTTATCTATAAAATCTACTCTAGTTTATAGTGAATTAACTAATGTAATTTGAAATGGTCTCCACTTTATATATGTACAACTATTTGTAAAATTCTATTTTGACACACTATACTGCTTGAAACAATAAATCTGATGGGTGGGGTATGAAGTGAAAACACTAGAACAGGTGTACTGTTTAAAGTTACATAGGCACCAAATAGAGGTACCATTTCCTATTATATACCTGTTAAAATCTCATGTATTTAGTTTTATCTTAAGTTACTTATCTGAAATCTCATACCATTTACAACTATATACTGGTCAAAATCTCAGGTGTTTAGTTTCATCTTAAGTTACTTATCTGAAATCTCATACCATTTACAACTATTTACTGGTCAAAATCTCAGGTGTTTAGTTTTATCTTTAGTTACTTATCTGAAATCTCATACCATTTACAACTATTTACTGGTCAAAATCTCAGGTGTTAAGTTTGGTCTGAAATTACATATCTGAACTCTCAAACCATTAACAACTATTTACTGGTCAAAATCTGAGTTGTGCAGTTTGATTCCTTCCCAAGAATGTTTTTAGGAAGATCACGGCTGTCTTGAAATTCATGGTTATTTCTGGAAGAAAGATAGTTTACCCCTATTACTCTGGACATTGTGTGATGGGCCTTCTGTATGATGCTCAGTTAGGTACCCACCACATTCTACATGAAGATCATGCTTCTTAATGACCTTGTCTGTTCACACAGTAATAAACCCTAAAACAAACGTTGATCTGTCTTTGTCAGATTTTTACGTCATTGTGCTTACAGAAATGAACTACTGTCCTTAACTGATTTACCATCAGTAACAATGTCCTTAACTGATTTACCGTCAGTAACAATCTCGTAAACTGATTTACCGTCAGTAACAATGTCCTTAACTGATTTACCGTCAGTAACAATCTTGTAACTGATTTACCGTCAGTAACAATCTCCTTAACTGATTTACCGTCAGTAACAATCTCCTTAACTGATTTACCATCAGTAACAATCTCCTTAACTGATTTACCGTCAGTAACAATCTCCTTAACTGATTTACCGTCAGTAACAATCTCCTTAACTGATTTACCGTCAGTAACAATCTCCTTAACTGATTTACCGTCAGTAACAATCTCCTTAACTGATTTACCGTCAGTAACAATCTCCTTAACTGATTTACCGTCATTAACAATGAAATAAGTTAAGAAGTAAGAAACATACACTATCCAAAATGAATACAGGTAACAGAAAATACACAAATCTAAGATACATCACTTGGTGATGTTTAATCAATGATTCATCGCAATGTTGCCCTGTATGACAATGTCACTGACATATCACATAATATAACAATAAAATCCATTAAAATATCAACAATAATAAAACTATTCTACTATACAGACTACATCATCAATATAACAACATAGATCCACTTAAAATATCAACAATCTGTGTATCGTAAAACATCTATTTCTTACACGTGTATTCTCTTTCAGTCACTTTGACGATTTGATCTTCAAAGGTATTGTATACCATGCTGACTGACAAACATGTTTCTTCTGTACATGAGATATTTAAGAAAACAATAACACCATAAGAAGAATTAAATATTCTTGACCTTCCTGAAGCGTCCAGTCTCACTGAACCACATCAGCAGGGTCACCAACAACTGGCTCGAGCCAAAAATAATAAAACACTACATTTCAATACATAATGATTGAGCATCGTTTATATATATTCATTATGGACATAGAATGTAACAAAGAAAAAAATTTCGTACTGCAGAACTTCTGTGAAATGATACTGTGTCTGAAAGTAACCGCAGTGATACATCTACATACAAGTCTTTTACTCATCAAGTTTTTGGAAATTCTTAAATTTTACACTGCAGGACCAATTGTTTTTAACAATAAAGTTAAAAAGGACTCATGAAAATAAATTGTAGATTGATCACTGAGTAACACAAGTATATGCACCTTGGACATTCAATGACCCCATTTTCAGAATGCCAGAAGTTTGTGAACAACTTGACTCTATATACTGTTATAGCAAAATTGATTACCACAATTTGATCTTGCAGGTGTTCATAACCCTTCATATAACTCTTTACAGTAACATGATTTCCTCCATTCATTCTTTGGCCATCATTCTACACACTGATTTCAATTTGCTCCTCACACTAAAACTGTTTAAAGTCACTCTGTATCATAATGACATCATTGTTTCATATGACTACACCCTAATTATACTTCTATCTCATTGCACATGGTACTGCACAACATCCTGTATGCTGAAAAATGTTTGCCCAGTTAAAAATACACTCTCACCAATTAATACATATCTCCAATAACTTTGTATCTTCCACCTCACATCCACTGTTTGTCTCGATGTGTACTAAAATGTTCAAAAACAGATTCCTTATTATGGTGTGTAACACGTATGAATCTAAATATTAGATCATCGAGTGTGATATGTGACGATGTAGACTTTCAGTTGTGGACTGTTTCAGTTCCACATGAAGACTATATCAGTACTGTTCTAGAATGTACCTTCATACTGTCACACACTATCTAGTATTAAAACCACAATCCCACCTACTTCTGTTTACATATTTCAGTTAAAAATATAATGTCCCATACATTATGGCACTGTTTCTTGTAAGAGTCCCGTGTTCACGATATCAAGTGTGTTTTCCACACAATGCAAATATTGTCTCAAGAGTAATGGCATTGAATCCACACAAAGTGTCAGATCAGATCTGATGTAAGGATTACGTGGGGATGTTCGGAGACTTGGGAGATCTAGGACACTGCTCCACATAATTACTGGCTTTGGTCTTGGTGCGAGTTTCAGGCTTAGTTAGGTACCATAGTAGGTCTCTGTACTGTTTAGGCCATTGATAGCTAAGTCTATGTTGCATTATCTTTGGAATGTCTTCTGGCCGTGACTCGTCAAACATGATCGGAATAAACCTTGTTTCTAGGTCCCCACCACCACTTTGAATCTCACTCTCCATCAACTGGTAGATATATGCAGTATGAAGTGCACTGTCATTGTTTTCCACAATACAAGTTGCCTCGGTCAGATAATTAGGAGACACACACACCAGTACAAAGTCAGCCTGAAATATGAAAATACATTATAACTTACAGTTAGTTACACTGTTGATTATTGATCACAGGTAGGTAGCATGGTCTGTAGACAGGTGTCACACTGTACATTAACAGTTAATTAGTTAAACTGTTGAGTATTGATTACAGGTAGGTAGCATGGTCTGTAGACAGGTGTCAGTCTGTATATTTACAGTTAATTAGTTGAACTGTTGAGTATTGATTACAGGTAGGTAGCATGGTCTGTAGACAGGTGTCAGTCTGTATATTAACAGTTAATTAGTTAAACAGTTGAGTATTGATTACAGGTAGGTAGCATGGTCTGTAGACAGGTGTCAGTCTGTATATTAACAGTTAATTAGTTAAACTGTTGAGTATTGATTACAGGTAGGTAGCATGGTCTGTAGACAGGTGTCAGTCTGTATATTAACAGTTAATTAGTTAAACTGTTGAGTATTGATTACAGGTAGGTAGCATGGTCTGTAGACAGGTGTCAGTCTGTATATTAACAGTTAATTAGTTAAACTGTTGAGTATTGATTACAGGTAGGTAGCATGGTCTGTAGACAGGTGTCAGTCTGTATATTAACAGTTAAATTGTTGATTAGTTAAATTGTTGATTATTGATTAACAGGTAGGTAGCATGGTCTGTAGACAGGTGTCAGTCTGTATATTAACAGTTAGTTAAATTGTTGATTATTGATCACAGGTAGGTAGCATGGTCTGTAGACAGGTGTCAGTCTGTATATTAACAGTTAGTTAAATTGTTGATTATTGATCACAGGTAGGTAGCATGGTCTGTAGACAGGTGTCAGTCTGTATATTAACAGTTAGTTAAATTGTTGATTATTGATCACAGGTAGGTAGCATGGTCTGTAGACAGGTGTCAGTCTGTATATTAACAGTTAGTTAAATTGTTGATTATTGATCACAGGTAGGTAGCATGGTCTGTAGACAGGTGTCAGTCTGTATATTAACAGTTAGTTAAATTGTTGATTATTGATCACAGGTAGGTAGCATGGTCTGTAGACAGGTGTCAGTCTGTATATTAACAGTTAGTTAGTTAAACTGTTGAGTATTGATTACAGGTAGGTAGCATGGTCTGTAGACAGGTGTCAGTCTGTATATTAACAGTTAGTTAGTTAAACTGTTGAGTATTGATTACAGGTAGGTAGCATGGTCTGTAGACAGGTGTCAGTCTGTATATTAACAGTTAGTTAGTTAAACTGTTGAGTATTGATTACAGGTAGGTAGCATGGTCTGTAGACAGGTGTCACACTGTATATTAACAGTTAGTTAAATTGTTGATTATTGATTACAGGTAGGTAGCATGGTCTGTAGACAGGTGTCAGTCTGTATATTAACAGTTAGTTAGTTAAACTGTTGATTATTGATTACAGGTAGGTAGCATGGTCTGTAGACAGGTGTCACACTGTATATTAACAGTTAGTTAAACTGTTGAGTATTGATTACAGGTAGGTAGCATGGTCTGTAGACAGGTGTCAGTCTGTATATTAACAGTTAATTAGTTAAACTGTTGTAGGTAGCATGGTCTGTAGACAGGTGTCAGTCTGTATATTAACAGTTAATTAGTTAAACTGTTGAGTATTGATTACAGGTAGGTAGCATGGTCTGTAGACAGGTGTCAGTCTGTATATTAACAGTTAATTAGTTAAACTGTTGAGTATTGATTACAGGTAGGTAGCATGGTCTGTAGACAGGTGTCAGTCTGTATATTAACAGTTAATTAGTTAAACTGTTGAGTATTGATTACAGGTAGGTAGCATGGTCTGTAGACAGGTGTCAGTCTGTATATTAACAGTTAATTAGTTAAACTGTTGAGTATTGATTACAGGTAGGTAGCATGGTCTGTAGACAGGTGTCAGTCTGTATATTAACAGTTAATTAGTTAAACTGTTGAGTATTGATTACAGGTAGGTAGCATGGTCTGTAGACAGGTGTCAGTCTGTATATTAACAGTTAGTTAAATTGTTGATTATTGATCACAGGTTAGTTAAACTGTATATTAACAGTTAGTTAAATTGTTGATGATACAGGTAGGTAGCATGGTCTGTAGACAGGTGTCAGTCTGTATATTAACAGTTAGTTAAATTGTTGATTATTGATCACAGGTAGGTAGCATGGTCTGTAGACAGGTGTCAGTCTGTATATTAACAGTTAGTTAAATTGTTGATTATTGATCACAGGTAGGTAGCATGGTCTGTAGACAGGTGTCAGTCTGTATATTAACAGTTAGTTAAATTGTTGATTAACAGGTAGGTAGCATGTTGAGGTGTATCTGTATATTAACAGTTAGTTAAATTGTTGATTATTGATCACAGGTAGGTAGCATGGTCTGTAGACAGGTGTCAGTCTGTATATTAACAGTTAGTTAAATTGTTGATTATTGATCACAGGTAGGTAGCATGGTCTGTAGACAGGTGTCAGTCTGTATATTAACAGTTAGTTAAATTGTTGATTATTGATCACAGGTAGGTAGCATGGTCTGTAGACAGGTGTCACAGTTAGTTAAATTGTTGATTATTAACAGGTGTCAGTCTGTATATTAACAGTTAGTTAAATTGTTGATTATTGATTACAGGTAGGTAGCATGGTCTGTAGACAGGTGTCACACTGTACATTTACAGTTAGTTAAACTGTTGATTATTGATTACAGGTAGGTAGCATGGTCTGTAGACAGGTGTCACACTGTACATTAACAGTTAATTAGTTAAACTGTTGAGTATTGATTACAGGTAGGTAGCATGGTCTGTCTGTATATTAACAGTTAGTTAAACTGTTGATTATTGATTACAGGTAGGTAGCATGGTCTGTAGACAGGTGTCAGTCTGTATATTAACATTTAATTAGTTAAACTGTTGAGTATTGATTACAGGTAGGTAGCATGGTCTGTAGACAGGTGTCAGTCTGTATATTAACAGTTAGTTAGTTAAACTGTTGAGTATTGATTACAGGTAGGTAGCATGGTCTGTAGACAGGTGTCAGTCTGTATATTAACAGTTAGTTAGTTAAACTGTTGAGTATTGATTACAGGTAGGTAGCATGGTCTGTAGACAGGTGTCAGTCTGTATATTAACAGTTAGTTAGTTAAACTGTTGAGTATTGATTACAGGTAGGTAGCATGGTCTGTAGACAGGTGTCAGTCTGTATATTAACAGTTAGTTAGTTAAACTGTTGAGTATTGATTACAGGTAGGTAGCATGGTCTGTAGACAGGTGTCACACTGTATATTAACAGTTAGTTAAATTGTTGATTATTGATTACAGGTAGGTAGCATGGTCTGTAGACAGGTGTCAGTCTGTATATTAACAGTTAGTTAGTTAAACTGTTGATTATTGATTACAGGTAGGTAGCATGGTCTGTAGACAGGTGTCACACTGTATATTAACAGTTAGTTAAACTGTTGAGTATTGATTACAGGTAGGTAGCATGGTCTGTAGACAGGTGTCAGTCTGTATATTAACAGTTAATTAGTTAAACTGTTGATTATTGATTACAGGTAGGTAGCATGGTCTGTAGACAGGTGTCAGTCTGTATATTAACAGTTAATTAGTTAAACTGTTGAGTATTGATTACAGGTAGGTAGCATGGTCTGTAGACAGGTGTCAGTCTGTATATTAACAGTTAATTAGTTAAACTGTTGAGTATTGATTACAGGTAGGTAGCATGGTCTGTAGACAGGTGTCAGTCTGTATATTAACAGTTAATTAGTTAAACTGTTGAGTATTGATTACAGGTAGGTAGCATGGTCTGTAGACAGGTGTCAGTCTGTATATTAACAGTTAATTAGTTAAACTGTTGAGTATTGATTACAGGTAGGTAGCATGGTCTGTAGACAGGTGTCAGTCTGTATATTAACAGTTAATTAGTTAAACTGTTGAGTATTGATTACAGGTAGGTAGCATGGTCTGTAGACAGGTGTCAGTCTGTATATTAACAGTTAGTTAAATTGTTGATTATTGATCACAGGTAGGTAGCATGGTCTGTAGACAGGTGTCAGTCTGTATATTAACAGTTAGTTAAATTGTTGATTATTGATCACAGGTAGGTAGCATGGTCTGTAGACAGGTGTCAGTCTGTATATTAACAGTTAGTTAAATTGTTGATTATTGATCACAGGTAGGTAGCATGGTCTGTAGACAGGTGTCAGTCTGTATATTAACAGTTAGTTAAATTGTTGATTATTGATCACAGGTAGGTAGCATGGTCTGTAGACAGGTGTCAGTCTGTATATTAACAGTTAGTTAAATTGTTGATTATTGATCACAGGTAGGTAGCATGGTCTGTAGACAGGTGTCAGTCTGTATATTAACAGTTAGTTAAATTGTTGATTATTGATCACAGGTAGGTAGCATGGTCTGTAGACAGGTGTCAGTCTGTATATTAACAGTTAGTTAAATTGTTGATTATTGATCACAGGTAGGTAGCATGGTCTGTAGACAGGTGTCAGTCTGTATATTAACAGTTAGTTAAATTGTTGATTATTGATCACAGGTAGGTAGCATGGTCTGTAGACAGGTGTCAGTCTGTATATTAACAGTTAGTTAAATTGTTGATTATTGATCACAGGTAGGTAGCATGGTCTGTAGACAGGTGTCAGTCTGTATATTAACAGTTAGTTAAATTGTTGATTATTGATTACAGGTAGGTAGCATGGTCTGTAGACAGGTGTCAGTCTGTATATTAACAGTTAGTTAGTTAAACTGTTGAGTATTGATTACAGGTAGGTAGCATGGTCTGTAGACAGGTGTCACACTGTATATTAACAGTTAGTTAAATTGTTGATTATTGATTACAGGTAGGTAGCATGGTCTGTAGACAGGTGTCAGTCTGTATATTAACAGTTAGTTAGTTAAACTGTTGAGTATTGATTACAGGTAGGTAGCATGGTCTGTAGACAGGTGTCACACTGTATATTAACAGTTAGTTAAACTGTTGAGTATTGATTACAGGTAGGTAGCATGGTCTGTAGACAGGTGTCAGTCTGTACATTAACAGTTAATTAGTTAAACTGTTGATTATTGATTACAGGTAGGTAGCATGGTCTGTAGACAGGTGTCACACTGTACATTAACAGTTAATTAGTTAAACTGTTGATTATTGATTACAGGTAGGTAGCATGGTCTGTAGACAGGTGTCACACTGTATATTAACAGTTAATTAGTTAAACTGTTGAGTATTGATTACAGGTAGGTAGCATGGTCTGTAGACAGGTGTCAGTCTGTATATTAACAGTTAGTTAAATTGTTGATTATTGATTACAGGTAGGTAGCATGGTCTGTAGACAGGTGTCAGTCTGTATATTAACAGTTAGTTAGTTAAACTGTTGAGTATTGATTACAGGTAGGTAGCATGGTCTGTAGACAGGTGTCACACTGTATATTAACAGTTAGTTAAATTGTTGATTATTGATTACAGGTAGGTAGCATGGTCTGTAGACAGGTGTCAGTCTGTATATTAACAGTTAGTTAGTTAAACTGTTGATTATTGATTACAGGTAGGTAGCATGGTCTGTAGACAGGTGTCACACTGTATATTAACAGTTAGTTAAACTGTTGAGTATTGATTACAGGTAGGTAGCATGGTCTGTAGACAGGTGTCAGTCTGTATATTAACAGTTAATTAGTTAAACTGTTGATTATTGATTACAGGTAGGTAGCATGGTCTGTAGACAGGTGTCAGTCTGTATATTAACAGTTAATTAGTTAAACTGTTGAGTATTGATTACAGGTAGGTAGCATGGTCTGTAGACAGGTGTCAGTCTGTATATTAACAGTTAATTAGTTAAACTGTTGAGTATTGATTACAGGTAGGTAGCATGGTCTGTAGACAGGTGTCAGTCTGTATATTAACAGTTAGTTAAACTGTTGATTATTGATTACAGGTAGGTAGCATGGTCTGTAGACAGGTGTCAGTCTGTATATTAACAGTTAGTTAGTTAAACTGTTGAGTATTGATTACAGGTAGGTAGCATGGTCTGTAGACAGGTGTCAGTCTGTATATTAACAGTTAGTTAAACTGCTGATTATTGATTACAGGTAGGTAGCATGGTCTGTAGACAGGTGTCAGTCTGTATATTAACAGTTAGTTAGTTAAACTGTTGAGTATTGATTACAGGTAGGTAGCATGGTCTGTAGACAGGTGTCAGTCTGTATATTAACAGTTAGTTAGTTAAACTGTTGAGTATTGATTACAGGTAGGTAGCATGGTCTGTAGACAGGTGTCAGTCTGTATATTAACAGTTAGTTAGTTAAACTGTTGAGTATTGATTACAGGTAGGTAGCATGGTCTGTAGACAGGTGTCAGTCTGTATATTAACAGTTAATTAGTTAAACTGTTGGATACTGATTACTAGCAGAGAGCATGGTCAGTACAGACAGGTGTCAACTGTTGAATAGTGATTACTACAGAATGGTCAGTATAGACACGTCTCACAATTTATACTTATCATAGTTGTTATAATACAATATTGATTAAAATGGTCCGTATAGACAGGTGTCACAATGCATTACTAAGAGATTTAAACAGATACTGGTACTGACCTCAGAAAAACGCTGGTTACACCATTCTAATTTATTATGGCTGTCCACCATCTTGCGATCATTAACATCCATACAACAAGTGAAGCCATTCTTCTCCAGACAGCGACACAGGTTGAGCACTCTTTGGATGTGGCGCTTGCAGTCGTTGGAATACGTTACAAAAACTTTGATATGCCAGAAGTCTGCAAAATAGAGCATGGAGATCACATTTGGAAGAAAAATCAGCTGAGAATACGGGAGAGATGGATGATCAAGTTTTAAGGGAGAATGAAGACAGAGATTTCATCTTTACTTTAGATATATTGTACCCTTTACACAAGCTTGATATTATGTACCTCAACCTAACTGCACCTCATCATTTACTTCAATTATATAAAGTACACCTTTATCTTAACTTGCTGGTAACCTTAATGTGATGGTAACCTATATCTTAACTTTTTACTAACCTTAACTTTCGAGTAACCTTTACTTTAGCTTTTTACTAATCTTAACTTGATGGCAAATCTAATCTTTATTTTTGGTAACCTTAACTTGATGGTAACCTTTATCTTAACTTTTTACAAATCTTAACTTGATGGCAAATCTAATCTTTATTTTTGGTAACCTTAACTTGATGGTAACCTTTATCTTAACTTTTTACAAATCTTAACTTGATGGCAAATCTAATCTTTATTTTTGGTAACCTTAACTTGATGGTAACCTTTATCTTAACTTTTTACTAATCTTAACTTGATGGTTAATTTGATCATAACTTTTTGGTAACATTATCTTTCTTTTAACCTTAACATGTTGGTAACTTTTATCTGAAATTGGAAACCTTTGTCTACAGGAGATGATAAACTTAACCTTAACTTGATCAGGTAACCTTTCCCTCAATGAGATGGTGACCTTTCCCTTAATGATATGGTGACCTTTACCTTAATGGTATGGTGACCTTTACCTTAATGTTATGGTATCCTTAAACTTAATGAGATGGTAACCCTTAACTTAACTTGAAAGTAACCTTTATTTTAACTTTATGGTGAATATTAATGCCTCACGACATGTAGCTTATGATACATCTTCTCCCTGGTAATGAATACTTAATATTACAGCGACCTACTTTTTCTCTGGTACTCCACAGGTTTCATATCATCTGGCATGGACTTCGACTTGGTGAGTCCTGACATACATTCTGCTGATTGGTTTCCCTGTGCTCCTCCAACAGTCGACGTACAATGCATCATAGATTTGGCTCGGGGAAATGTTTTTGGAGGTTCTTTATTTGCGGGACCTTTATCTTTCATAACGCGTTGATTTTGAATCTGCAGCTGTTGTTCATGTACACCTCGATGATTTCTGAATCCTGCATTAAAATTAAATATCATTTGGAAATCCTCCTCTGTCTGTGGTTCCCTATGAACGATACCCTGATCACCTCCACCACGTAAGCGACATTGCACATCCTCTAAATTACTACGATTATACAGCATCTCTTCACGGTTTTTAGCAGCCATAATAGAATTATATTCCTCATTAGGCATGTAAGATTCAGAGTTTGTGAACTGTTGTAGTTTAGCCAAAGGATTACCAGGTGTTGTTGGACTTGGACTACAGAATTTCTTTTTGTCGACTGGAGTTTGTTGCCCTTTCTTTGGTCGTACTTGTAAATTCAGTCCTAAGTTGGCATTAGAAGCTGCTGGCATTCCCTGTGGATCTACTAAAGGCTGATTAGCATTCATTTCTTCTGACAATTGTCGACCGAATTGAGCTGTAGCATGTCCAGACATGCGTTCTGTGGTCTCCACCACCTCCTCATTCCCAACTTGCATGTCATTATAATTGATCAAAGGTGGCACTCGATTAAGGGACGGTAGGTAGTTTGTGGCCTTGAATATGGTTCTAGGCAAGGCAGCCTTTTCATCTTTGGGCCAAAGCCTCGAAACCGATTCAGATTCATTGTCCATTTGGATATTTTCTTGGAGGTAGTGGTCAGCTACATCAATGTTTACCTCCATACTCTCATCATTCATACTTGAACTTGTGTAAGTAGACATATATTGAGAGGAGTTACGAGGTGTGTGGACCCCGGTGTGTTGTACGCTGGCCGGTGAGCTGTATGACTGATAGTTGTGGGGCATAGTGTTCAGTTCCTTGGTGACATGCAATGAGTGTGAAGACATGTCTGGACAATGCTGCAGATTATAGACACTGAACTGATTGGGACATACATTCATGTTGTGGTGTTGGGATATCCCAGAATTAGCCACCGAAGAGCTGACACAACTTCCAGAGCAGCAACCTGAGGGAAAGTTGTAGGAATTCTCACCAGGTTCAATCTTCACCCTCCTGTTGTTGTTTCTCATAGCAGCGGTGTATTTCCGTTCAATTTCTGGTGAATGATAATAAAACTATTACTGCTGCCTTGAAATACTCTTACTATCGTTAATGATTCTTTACACAAATTATGTTCTTTAATGCATAGGAAAGACAAACAAATAAGTATCTTTCTTTACAAAATCATGTATCTACATCTTTTGTTGATTTTCTTTTTGCGAATAGCACTTATTTCTACAGTAGTAAATATATTACCATGGCAGTACTATATTTCAACAATAAAAAACCCACAAAACAAAATCCCATTTTACCTGGTATTGCGTCCAGCAGAACATCCAATGCATCAGGACGATCCATGCTTTCTAGGGCCTTCCTTAACTTTGTTACAGAATTTCCAGATCTCTTAACATAGTCCTCAAACAGTTTCACAGTGTTGCGACCATGCCGTGTTTGGCGACACTCAATATTCTGCAAAAGAGAAAAAAATTACAGTGGTAATTTCTGTATGTCTTTCATAATTGAAGCCAGCAGCTTCACTAAAAAAACTGAAAAAATTTCTGTGATAAAAATCAAGGAAATCAAATCTTACTAACCTAAAAAACAGATAATGTTTTTGAATAACCAAGTACAATGTATTATCAACCTGCAGTTCCTAAACATCTGGCCATAACCCAACAAATTGTCTTTTTATTTTAGGAAGTTATTAAACAAGACCTAGTGACTTTTAATACAAATGTCTTACTTACAGAGTCAAACAAGACCTAGAGACTTTTAATACAAATGTTTTACTTACAGAGTCAAACAAGACCTGGTGACTTTTAATACAAATGTTATACTTCCACAGAATCAAACAAGACCTAGTGACTTTTAATACAAATGTATTACTTACACAGAGTCAAACAAGACCTGGTGACTTTTAATACAAATGTTATACTTCCACAGAATCAAACAAGACCTGGTGACTTTTAATACAAATGTATTACTTACACAGAGTCAAACAAGACCTGGTGACTTTTAAAACAAATGTTTTACTTACACAGAGTCAAACAAGACCTAGTGACTTTTAATACAAATGTTATACTTCCACAGAATCAAACAAGACCTAGTGACTTTTAATACAAATGTTTTACTTACACAGAGTCAAACAAGACCTGGTGACTTTTAATACAAATGTTTTACTTACACAGAGTCAAACAAGACCTAGTGACTTTTAATACAAATGTATTACTTACACAGAGTCAAACAAGACCTAGTGACTTTTAATACAAATGTTCTACTTCCACAGAGTCAAACAAGACCTAGTGACTTTTAATACAAATGTTTTACTTACAGAGTCAAACAAGACCTAGTGACTTTTAATACAAATGTTTTACTTACACAGAGTCAAACAAGACCTGGTGACTTTTAATACAAATGTTTTACTTACAGAGTCAAACAAGACCTGGTGACTTTTAATACAAATGTTATACTTCCACAGAATCAAACAAGACCTGGTGACTTTTAATACAAATGTATTACTTACACAGAGTCAAACAAGACCTGGTGACTTTTAATACAAATGTATTACTTACACAGAGTCAAACAAGACCTAGTGACTTTTAATACAAATGTTTTACTTACAGAGTCAAACAAGACCTAGTGACTTTTAATACAAATGTTTTACTTACAGAGTCAAACAAGACCTAGTGACTTTTAATACAAATGTTATACTTCCACAGAATCAAACAAGACCTAGTGACTTTTAAAACAAATGTTTTACTTACACAGAGTCAAACAAGACCTAGTGACTTTTAATACAAATGTATTACTTACACAGAGTCAAACAAGACCTGGTGACTTTTAATACAAATGTATTACTTACACAGAGTCAAACAAGACCTAGTGACTTTTAATACAAATGTATTACTTACACAGAGTCAAACAAGAACTAAAGACTTTTAATACAAATGTATTACTTACACAGAGTCAAACAAGACCTGGTGACTTTTAATACAAATGTATTACTTACACAGAGTCAAACAAGACCTAGTGACTTTTAATACAAATGTATTACTTACAGAGTCAAACAAGACCTGGTGACTTTTAATACAAATGTATTACTTACACAGAGTCAAACAAGACCTAGTGACTTTTAATACAAATGTATTACTTACACAGAGTCAAACAAGAACTAAAGACTTTTAATACAAATGTATTACTTACACAGAGTCAAACAAGACCTGGTGACTTTTATACAAATATATTACTTTCAAAAAACCCAACTCCATAACCTGTTCTGTTGGTGACTTTTCATGTGACTTACAAGCATTATGAACTTATCATCAGTCTTCCTATTTAATGCTAGAGAATGTTTTACAGAATCCTTGAAAGCCTGTAATATGTCATTCTCCCTAAAACTTATTCTATGCTATCTATAAATAGTAAAATACCAGATGAATTCAGAATGAGCAGGCTATGATAATTCATAATGTTCTATATCAAGATGACCTGTTAAATCCACTTTGTTGACTGTAAACTCTTTCTACGATGCCTCTTATGATACAACTTTTTCAAACAGACCACTGCATAACAAAGACAAGGAAGTGCTCCCCAACATATAAACATTGTGCTATTTTTCAGCTGTCAGTGCTGTATCTATAAATCCTGACATTTTGGGAATTTCAGAATCATGATCAATTTTAAAAAGATGATTTATCATTAAATATAGCTGTATTGGCCATTTTTTTTTTCCACACAAAATTTTTGTTTTTAAAGCTGTTTTCTATAGTATTCATCTTTGACAATATCCATTCCAAGCACAACAGGTTTCATCACAGTTTTCGGGGAAAGTGTTTTGAGACAACAATGTCAGTTTGTGTTACACTTGTCCAATTAAAGTGAGTATGCATGGATAATTTAACTGTTATTTGAGTTTAATTTTATATACATTTTTTTATAACAGTCTCCCATTCATTCTGTGGCGATCAGGAATGTATTTAAAGGAGTATAGATCATCAGACCTTTATATGATGTCACTGACACCACATTGACCAACGTTATGTGAAAGCATTGCACATTGCCTCTATAACATACATGTGTACATTAGAGACTTAAAGATTTGTAATTTAGAAATCTATGAATGCCAGGAAGCTCTTCAGGTAAATGAACATACAGGGAAAATTCTTAAGATTTTTGATAAAACAGACAAGATTATATTTGCAATTATATCTAATGTATATATTGCTACACTGAACGGTTGTCATCTGTTTGACTGTTTAACTATCATTCAGATTGAATTCACACTTAACAGTAAATTCAATACGATGACCATTCAATGTTCATCCTTTTCCATATCAACACTTCTACTCCAAGTCACATGAACTGAAGGATAAAAAAATCACCTGCATGATGCAGTTCTATGTGTTAGTCATCAGATTTTGTGAAGCTATATATACACCTGCATATGAATTTCTCAAGTCATTCATGTACATAATTGTACTAAAGACACATAAATGAATAGTACCTTTCAATATAAGTTATGAATTAGATTAATGACAGCCAAACAGTGACTGATGATCACCTTAATAAATAAGGTGTAGAACATAATGTTATGACACTATGGGGTAAATATGAACCAATCTCTTGAGAGATTCTCAAGATATCAATTACATGGATCCCGAATACGACAGGATGTGACATGACCCAAACAAAGGGACAAACTAATGAAGACAGGATGTGACATGACCCAAACAAAGGGACAGAGTAATGAAGACAATCCCGGAATTTTTCCACTTATTTTAAAGACTTTATCTTATTTTGGGAATGAAATTTTAAGGAATAAATTTTATCTTCTGAGAATTCAACTATCTTACAAAAAAAAATTTAGATGGGAATGGAGCCAAAATTCAGGCCCATAGAGCCCTCAGAAAAAACCCACAAAATGACAAAGATAAATGCTAAATAACAAGCCACAGTAGATAAAATGTCACCAACTGAGACAAGAATCTTCAAAGGAACAGCTTTAAAAAGAAAACCTTAAAACAATTAAGTGTCATAATTACTGAGCGATGAATCTTAACAGGCATGAAACAGAAAATTTTGTTTCCATATACAGAAACAATTACACACAATAACACAAATGTTCCAACAAACTGACGTCGTCCTAAAACTAAGTTTTAGCTAGATAACTTATAGACATCACAATTCTTACGTACGTTCTTACCTAGAAAACTTCTGTAGACATCACAACCTTTACCTAAGTTCTAGCTTGAAAATTTATGTAGACATCACAATCCTTAACTTAGTTCTAGCTACATAACTTATAGACATCACAATCTTTATCTAAGTTCTTGCTAGATAACTTATAGACATCACAATCTTTATCTAAGTTCTTGCTAGATAACTTATAGACATCACAATCTTTATCTAAGTTCTTGCTAGATAACTTATAGACATCACAATCTTTATCGAAGTTCTTGCTAGATAACTTATAGACATCACAATCTTTATCTAAGTTCTTGCTAGATAACTTATAGACATCACAATCTTTATCTAAGTAATAGCTAGATAACTTATGTAGACATCACAATCTTTACCTAAGTTCTAGCTAGATAACTTATGTAGACATCACAATCTTTACCTAAGTTCTAGCTAGATAACATTTGTAGACATCACAATCCTTACCTTAATTCTAGTTATAAAACGTAAAGTCCTTATTAGAATATTAACCCAAGTTTTAGCTAGAAAACCTATAGCTGTTGTTAATCATTCCACTGTTCATGTATACAATCCTACAGTTTGTATATCCGGTCCATTAGAACAATGACGTCAGTACAGTATGTCCAGTGAGTATTATATCTTGATCACTGTGTAGTAGCCTAAGGCACTCCATTGTTTTTACCTAAACCATGTACATGTTCCTGTGTAAGAGAATGCAGCTGTGGTTATGTCAGCTAACCACTTTTCTCTCCAAGATTCAAATGGACAAGAATAGAACTGATTAATTATACAACAAAGCTTCCTTGTGACAATTGTCATGTTAATCATAATAAATCTGGATATTTTGTATTACCATAAAAACAGCAGCTTTGAGATGTATAAATATGCCTGTCTAAGTGCTCAAGGAAATCGCAACAATCAAATCTGTTCAAACGGTAGATATGTTGCACAAATCATGACTCTCTAGGTAAATATAAGTTTAAAATACTAAATGCTTAATAAGCAATTTAAGCAGCAAAGAACATCTGAACCCATCCAAGCATTCAAACAATTATAATACATATGTGATGAAGCATCTTCCTGATCATGATCGGTGATGTAAACATGTCATTGTCCATGTAAATAAGGACACTTTTTAACTGACCTAAAACTGATTACTTTGAATTATTCAGGTAACAAAAAAATTCTTTCCTGCATTTAACATCAGTCAGCAGTCACATCTATTTCTCTGAGGTGATTGGACCAACCTGATCAAGGGCAATAACTCTGAA